AAAACCACCAAAATTAATGTAATCTTTAAAAATCTTCTTTACTCCTGGACATCAAGCAGTCAAACTGTTGGCATGGTGGTGATAAACATTGAGTCCTCTACCAAAATTTTGAAATTCATGGCCCCAGGGTCAGGGGTTCTGGTGCTAGGGTGGGGCTATATAGATCATGAAAATGCATTATTTCTTTGAAAATCTTCTTCTCTGATCCTGGGTATCATTTAAACAAACGAAGTACCTGGTTATGATAAGCAAGGATGCCTCTTTCAAAATTGTGAATTTCATGGCCCCTGAGTCAGGGGTTCTGGTGTTGGGGGGAGGGGGCTATTGATTATATTGTGAAAATGCATTAATTCTTTGAAAATCTTCTTCTCTGCTCCTGGGTATCATTTAAACAAACGAAGTACCTGGTTATGATAAGCAAGGATGCCTCTTTCAAAATTGTGAATTTCATGGCCCCTGAGTCAGGGGTTCTGGTGTTGGGGGGAGGGGGCTATTGATTATATTGTGAAAATGCATTAATTCTTTGAAAATCTTCTCTGCTCCTGGGTATTAAACAAAGTAACAAAGTACATAGTTATGATGAGCAAGGTTGCTTCTTTCAAAATTGTGAATTTCATGGCCCCTGGGTCAAGCGTTCTGGTGTTAGGGTTGGGCTCTATTGATTATAGTGAAAATGCATTAATTCTTTACAATATCTTCTTCTCTGCTCCTTGGTATTAAACAAAGTAACTAAGTGCATAGTTATGATAAACAAGGCTGCCTCTTTTAAAATTGTGAATTTCATGGCCCCTTGGTCAGGGCGGGGCTCTAATGATTATATAGTGAAAATGCATTAAAATGCATTAATTCTTTGAAAATCTTCTTCTCTGCTCCTGGGAATTATTGAAACAAACTAAGTACATGGTTATGATAAGCAAGAATGCCTCTTTCAAAATTTTGAAATTCATGGCCCCAGGGTCAGGAGTTCTGGTGAAACGAGGGGGGGGGGGGGGCTCTATTAATTATATAGTGAAACAGCATAATATCTTTGATGGTATTCTTTAATTTTCTGCTCCTGGTTATAAAGCAAAGAAACTAAGTGCATAGTTATGATAAGCAAGAGTGTTTCTTCCAGAATTATGAGTTTTATGGCCCTTGTGTCAAGTGTTCTGGTGTAAGGGTAATGCTTTATTAATAATAAAGTGAAAATGCATTCATAGTATTAAATAATCCTGTCTGCTCCTTATAGTGTTGAGCAGATAAACAAAGTGCATAGTTATGATGAACAATGCGCTTCTTACAAAATTTATAAAAGTTGTGTGGTCCCAGGGTCACGGGTTCTGGTGTTTCTCGGGGGGGGGGGGGGCTATTTTGATAATTGATATATAGAGTGAAAATGTGTTAATTCTTTGAAAATCAACTAAGTGCATAGTTGTGATGATGAGGGTACCTCTTCCAAATTTCTGAATTTCATGACCCTGGATCATGCGTTCTGATGTTAGGGTAGGGCTATGTTGAATCTATATTAAGAATGCATTGTTTCTGTAAAATTCTTCTCTGCCCCTGGGCATGTCGGAGGTAAACCAAGTAAAATTTTTAATAAGCAAGGGTATTTTTACCAGATTTTTGAACATCTGGACCATTTGGTCAAGTGTTCTGGTCCTGGGCAGGGCTGTATTTATTATCTATTCTACTGAGAGAAGTTATTCTCCCTTGCAATTCACTTTTGATAATTAATCACTGTAAATAAAGTATTTGAAAGGTTAACAGAATAAGAAAATTATGCAAGAATTTTTATTGTATAATACAAAAAAGTACTTTCAAAGTTTTAATGATCAAGTAGACTTGTACTTAATAGATAAATAAAAATGAGACAAAAATAACTTATCAAATGTTCTTCAAAGACCAAGAGAGGACAATGTGAGGAGTTATAATATGGGGTTAAAAATAGTACAGAAGCACAAATAGTTTCTTAATAGTCTGCATGGTAATAGTGATAAATGGGGGATTTAGAACTTAATTTATTAGTTGTTACTAAATACTAGACTAATTATTTCGTTGATCCTGATCATCCTCTTTCTCTTGCTTTTGGGAATAAAGCTTCATCTATCAGTTTATTTTATACTCTATGGATCCTCTAAATTGTTGTATTTTACTCAGGTGACCGTTAAGGCCCTTGGGCCTCATGCTTATCCTAAAATATATTTGTTGATCAATTTTCAATTAGAAAATGAATAGCTGTGTTTTTATTCGCATTTCCTGAAAATATATTTGAGATTTGATAATTTTCCCTAAATAAATTGATCAACTATAATGATGAACTTTGAAGAAATACCATGGGTAAATTCATGTTACTATATGAAATCAGGGACATTTTTGTGAGCATTTTCAATTACCTAAAAGCTGCTTTCAAAACCTGAGGACTGAACTACCTTAAATGATTCAAACCTTTTTCAACTTAATTTTGATTTTTACAATAATTTCAAACATTTGATAATGTAAAGAACTTCGTGTATTTAGAGTAGTTGCAATATAAACTTACATGTAATTAATTAAGTACTTCTTCTTTATATCTTAGGTTTCTTGTTCGAACTATTATTAATAGAACAATATTGGAATCATTAAGAAATACCGATGATGCCATTAAAGACTCGTAGAAAGTGGCGGAGGGTTGGGGGCAGGCCCTCCCCACTTTTTTCTGAGTATAATATTCTGATAGTGTAAATTTTCATTTAGATGCCCCCCCCCCCCCCTTATATCGCTATAAGGTCGAGCACTGGCAAATTCCAGGATTTGGGCAGTTAAGGAGGTTTTTCTTTTTCTTTTTTAATTTTAATTTTGTTTTCTGCTTGTCAGATTTTTTTTTAGGATATTGCCCCTCCCCCCCCCCCCCCCATGTTGAAACCATTGCTACGGGCCAGCATTACCAGGCAATATTCTCAATACTAAGGTTATGTCTTCAACAATATGAAAACCACAAGAATAGTTTTCAAAGATAAATTGTGCTTTTTGTGCATTCCTTGTCCCCGCTTTCGCGAAAGCGAGGGGAATTAAATCTTATTCGTCTGTCAGTCAATCTGTCTTTCTGTAAGTATGTCACAAAAACTTTAACCTTGGTCATAACTTTTGAATGAGAAAAAGATAGGGGTTTCATATTATATATGTATATTACCTGTGGCAAGATCTTTCGAAATATACTATGGTTTCTGACACCTTGACCTTGAAGTTTAACCTACTTTTCAAAAATTTTATCTTTGATTATAACTTTTGATTGAAAAAAGAAAGGCTTTCATATTTGACATGTGCATTATCTGTGACAAGATGTTTCCGAGCATGCTATGATTTTTTACCCCTTGACCTTGACCTTCATGTTTGACCCAATTTTTAAAAGTTTTAATTTTAGTGATTACTTTTGAATGACATATGATAGGGCGTTCATATTTGACAAGTACATTACCTGTGTCAAAATGTTTCCGAATGAGCTATGTTATTTAACCCTGTGAACTTGACTTTCAAGTTTGACTTAATTTTCTAAAATCCTAACATTGCTGATAACTTTTGATTGAGGGAAGATATGACATTTACATTTGACAAATCTTTTCCACAGCTAATTCAATAATTCATGGGGTTTTTATATGATGCACAGACAAGACAGGACACACAAACAAGACAGTTACAATATGTCATAAATAATAGCATCCAATCCACTAAGGCACCGAAAGCGGGTGACCACTATACTTTGAATTTGCTTGCTTTTGATTTGTTAACGAAGGTCAAAGTCTAGAATGTTTTCAATTAAAAATGATCTTTCAATGCTTTTCATTTTTTTTCTCTTTAATTTGGTATATCTAATATAGATGATTTTTGACTTTGAAAAATTGTCTTAGATCTTTGCAGTGTTATTTTGTCTCGACTCGACTGGCGGAATTTATCGAAAAATGCGAGTTATGTACAGATACCCCGCACAATTAACAAAATGAATCACACCTAACTTCGATACAATGATGTTAAGAAAATCGCCAATCTCTCACAAGAGGGCGCAACTACACAAGCTTTACTTACACCTGTTATCGTGTCCAAATTAGTTCTTATGGATCACATTTAGTTGGTGCAGATTTAAGGAACGTAGTTCCATACATGTGTATATCTGTTCAGAATGAAGGACTCAATTAAGATGATACATGTATAGGAGAAGTATCTTTACGTCAACCGAAATGAAATTTTTTTAAGAAAATTAAGATTTTTTTTTTACTTTTATGGGGATAAATATACAGATTGGTCATGTGATCAAATTCCATAAAGCCCTTCGGGCTGTATAGTAGAAATGTTTAAAAATGATAAATCTACCTTCTTAATTATATTTACATATGAATCTGAAGTATAACAAATATTTGTGTTCTAACAAATATTTGTGTTCTATGGTTTTAAACCCATGAAATGAAATATTTTTTGCAAACCTCAACGGTATAAATTGAATATGTTGAACGCGTCTAGCACTCATGATGTTACTGTGAAATTACGTCAATCGTTAGTGCGTTACGATAATTTGTCAGCACGGACAGGTTCTGTTATAGGACCGACGACATCTAAAAATAAGAATTCAATGCTAATATTTGCATATTCTAATTTTTTCTTTATATTTGTTAATTTCGTTAATCTTATAAATTAAGCGCCCATCAGAATTGGTGTGCTTAGAAGACGTAAGAGTCGAATCAATTAAATTAATTTCAAACGAATAATTGTTATACTTTTACAGTAGTTTAAAATAAATAAATTGATCCAAAACAATATACATTTCGGTGTTCCTAGAACACGCTTATTGCATATTGCATATAGTTCCTAATATTTATATTTTACCGCGCAGTGACAAGATTTCATGAGTGTTGTAGGGTACTGAATGTTGTAGATTTTCAATGGGTTACATAAAGAGACCTACACTGTAAATATTATCCTTTACCTTTTTACGTGAGTTTGTATAAGCGAAGCTTGTGCTTATTTCTAATTAAAGGATTTTTCCCCAGGATTATGTGACATGTAGGAACAGGCAATCCCTAGACGTGACAGAGATACTGTCTGGTGTTCTTCAGTTCTTCTTTAATCACCTATTCAAGAGATGTGAAGAGGCGGAGGAAACTGTTTTACCAGCCGATGTTCGCTGGGTTTTCAATCTCCCAATCAGAGCCAGAAGGGATATTATGATAGTTCTCAAATCTGCTGCAAGCAAGGTTTAATTGATTTACAATTTAAGACAGACAAAAAAAAAATAATTGTATATACTTGTATAACTTTTTGTAGAATCTTTTCTGTCTTGAAAAACTAGAAAAAAAAGAGTTACCGATTGTATTGAATTTGCTACAGGTGCGAATGACAAAACAATATTTTTCGATCATTCACTATTAATAAGATGTCCATCATCGCGCCTGAAGAAATTATCGGCATCATCACTTGGCATCATCAGTCCAGGGTATAATTATCAGCAAGTGGAACGTTTGCGGCTGATTTGATGCTTTGCATCAATATATTATCTTGTTTTGTATAGCAGTATAGAAGAAGTATTACTAATACTATCATTCCAATAACAGCTTGCCACTTCGCTTGATCAAGCGTGCTAAATTTTCACACGTTGATAACCATATTACTCAGTAATTGGCTGTTTCAAGGTATCAAAAATGCATACTACTTTGCGTATAAGATACAGAACCCCAAATCCCACCAAAAGTATTTATCAATCGCATCGAACACGTTGAGTGCATGATTGTTTACTTCACGGAAACACGTGGTCAGTCAAAGTCTTTTTACTTCCTATAATCATAAGTGTCATGTTAAAATTGTGAATTGATTAAATAAAGATGATTTGAGGAAATTTACAAAAATTAAACTATTAAAGCAACATAACCACTAGCATATAGATGCATTATGCAAGTTTTAGGTAAACTAGAGTGTTCCAAGGAATGTATGTCGCCTTCTTTGTAGCTTCATAAGTGTCGTAAGCTATTTATTTACTACTAGCTTGATAGTTCATGAAAAAAGCATCCTCTGATAGTATGACTGCGATAGAATCTGACAATCAAGGAAAATATGATTTCAACCCTCAAATGATTAATTAAATTGAAATTATCATAACTATTCATCATTTTACATGTATCAATTCCTTACTCCAATTGTCAGTCCGTACGATCCATTGTGGAATACCGATCCCGATGTATTTTCAAATTATTTAAATATCAGTTTGTGTGGTAACTGAATATTATATAATTTCAAAGTACACTATCATGAGCTCAAAAACATGCATAGATGCTAATTATCAACACCTTGCCTCTCAAAATTCAAAAGACAAAAGTTAGATTAAACTGTTCGGGGTATTTTTTTACAAAGAGGGTTAAATGTCAAGGTCAAGTGGAGTGTAACGCTGAAATTTTTCATAATGTTTCATGACAATGAGTGCACATGCTAAATAAACCTCTTAAATATAAAAAAATATTATGTATATTGTCACTATTAACTATTTTGTAAAGTAGGTCACATGTCAAGTCAAGGGTCACGAGGTCAGTAATCATGGCAATTCACAAAAGCCATGGTGCTAAGCAATATATGACTGTGCAAAATATCAAATCCATATCTTTTACTGTTTTTAAGATACAAGGTGTGACAGACGAACAGACAGACGCCGGGTAAAGGGATCCCTAAGTATCGCTCTGCTGTGCAGGCGACACAAAAATACATCATTTTATACATTGTAGCTGATGTTCCCTATATTCTCGTTCAAGAAACTCTAGCACTTTGTTGTGTGAATTAAAAGGAATTGAGATAAATCAAAATATTAGAAGGCCCTTTCCTTGTACTTACATGTAGAATATCTGAAAACTTATTTGGAAGGCTTGTGTTATTGTTCTCTATACGTACTCACCAATAAACAGACATACAATACTATTGGTCAGTGCATTTTTGTCACCCCTTGTATCTCAAGAACTGTGAGAGATATGGATTTGATATTTTGCACATATATTGCTTGGCACTATGGCTTTTGTGAATTGCCATGGTTACCGACTTCGTGACCTTTGACACACAATGTACCTTAATTTCATGTATTTCAAACACAAATATCCGCATACTCCTGGGTAAATTCCAATAATGCAACATCGGTCATGTGAAACGATCAGAAACTGCGGAGGTGTACTTTACAGAAAGTGAAAAGTTCCAATATACAGAATATTTTTGACATTTAAGAGATAAGTCTATGCTATTTAGCATGTGCACTCATTGTCATAAAACATCATGGATAATACCACCGTTACAATTCTCTTGACCTCGACCTTTGACCTACTTTGCAAAAAATATCCAAGACAGTTTAAATGAAGTCTTCTGAATTTTGAGAGACGGGGTGTTGATAATGAACATTTATACATGTTTATGAGTTCATGATACTGCACTTCGAAACTGTTTGATATTCAGTTACCACACAAACTGATATTTAGATACTATGAAATTACATCGGGATCGGTATCCCACTATAGATCGTGTAGACTGACAATTGGAGTAAAGACTTTGAAACACGTATTTATACATGTAAAATGATAAATAACGTACAATAAATTCAATTTAATTATGCATTTAAGGGTTGGGAATCATACGAGGGGCATTTGAAAAGTTCTGAGAACTGCTTGCTAAAATATCAACCATTTCACAGAAGTTAATAAATTTGATAATATTGAACAGAGCTGGAAAATTTGCACTTATATTGACTTAATTTTCTTATATTTATGACGAAATAGATCCAAAAATGACGTCAGAATCTCAAATGTTTAGCATACGGAAAAATCTCGAGTTTTATTCATATGAGAACATTGAAAAAGTGCTGTCAAAGGCTTCTTTGAACAGATATTTGAAAGTATATTTGCATGGAGGTAGAGTAAGACTGTAAAAATGTTTCGGTAAATCAGCAATTCCCTTTTTTATTTTTTTTGCATTGTTAATAAACACGGTAATGTTATCTTAGGCGTTCATAATTTTTTTTATATTTAGATGACATAGCTGGATTTTCGGTCTATTATATAGCTCTCCTCTATATTAAAAAAAGATATTCTATATAAAACTGAATGTAACAATGCAGTTTTCCACAAATGTAGCTTGAGTATCAGGACTCTTACCGTTTACGAATAAGATAAACAAAAGTGTTCCCCCGGACTTGTTTCTATGCGTATCATATCATATTATTTCAACTTCCGACAATCCAAAACTCACTATTGCTTTTGACTTTCGACTCAAGAAAATAAATAAATCAGAGTTTCATTGCCATGTACAATCTTATTTATTTTCCATGATTTAAAATCTTCGAACATATCGACTTACGGTGGGGTTAGAACTACACCGACGCCAATTCGGTTATTACAAGAAAATATGGGACACCCTTAGCTTAACCTCTCTTGAGCTTTAATCGTTCCCGCAAAATTGGTTAAAACACCTAAAGAAGTAATGTCAGCAAATTCTGTAACACCGTCCACTATTCTCTTGTGATTGTAAACTTTGTGATTTTCTCACAGCAGCGTCTATTTTTACCCAATATTTTGAGCGAGATTCGATAATAACATGCTATGTTTGACACACTCTTAAACCACCTTAGAACTATGAGCTCCCGAATATAACTCCATATGATAGACTGGTCGATGTAAACATTCTTCCAACTGGTAGTTGTGTCCGTTAGCATGCATCCGAGTAATGAACAAAAGTTGACTTTAAAATATTACTTCACTAAAATTGTGTCTCTTGTTACGTCATTTTTATGGTCAATATGCTAGACATTCAAGATTCTGACGTCATTTTCGGAGTTATTACGTAATAAAAATTACGAAGTGACGTCACAATATGTGTATATTTTTAATCTGTCCGATGATATTAATTAATATATCGGTTAATATTTTATCAAACAGTTCTCAGAACTTTTCAAATGCCCCTCGTATTTTCTTTGATAATCAGATTCTCTCGCAGTCTTATACTATGTGTGGATGCTTTTTTCTGCATGAACTATCATGCTAGTAGTAAATAAATAGCTAACTTCACTTAGATTTATTTACATCTTAATGAAGCTACAAAGCTGGCGACATATGCGTTCCTTGGAACACTCTAGTTATACCGTGTACATGAATTTACGTTAGAATTTTTTTGTGGATTTACTTTCATTTTTTATCTTAAATATTTTTTTAAGTTTATTTTTCTGAATACATTTTAAGCCTGAAAATACAGACATTATAAATATCTGGATTAGAGGTTAAATTTCATACATTTCAAGGTTCTAATTTATGGATTTCAACAGGCCAACATCGACACTGAAACAATCTACTTTATTTCGGAAACAGAGGCAATAGTGGTAGCAGCTAAAATACTTCATCAAGACAGAGTTATACCAGAGACTGATAATCAACTGTGTGTGTGTGATCTCGGTGGTAAGTAGGATTTATTATGTGTCAGGTGATATGTAGGATTTATTATGTGTCTGTCTCAGGTGGTATGTAGGATTTATTATGTGTCAGTGTCAGGTGGTATGTAGGATATATTATGTGTCAGTGTCAGGTGGTATGTAGGATTTATTATGTGTCAGTGTCAGGTGGTATGTAGGATTTATTATGTGTCAGTGTCAGGTGGTATGTAGGATTTATTATGTGTCAGTGTCAGGTGGTATGTAGGATATATTATGTGTCAGTGTCAGGTGGTATGTAGGATTTATTATGTGTCAGTGTCAGGTGGTATGTAGGATTTATTATGTGTCAGTGTCAGGTGGTATGTAGGATTTATTATGTGTCAGTGTCAGGTGGTATGTAGGATATATTATGTGTCAGTGTCAGGTGGTATGTAGGATTTATTATGTGTCTGTCTCAGGTGGTATGTAGGATTTATTATGTGTCTGTCTCAGGTGGTAAGTAGGATTTATTATGTGTCTGTCTCAGGTGGTATGTAGGATATATTATGTGTCAGTGTCAGGTGGTAAGTAGGATTTATTATGTGTCTGTCTCAGGTGGTATGTAGGATTTATTATGTGTCTGTCTCAGGTGGTAAGTAGGATTTATTATGTGTCTGTCTCAGGTGGTATGTAGGATATATTATGTGTCAGTGTCAGGTGGTATGTAGGATTTATTATGTGTCTGTCTCAGGTGGTATGTAGGATTTATTATGTGTCTGTCTCAGGTGGTAAGTAGGATTTATTATGTGTCTGTCTCAGGTGGTATGTAGGATATATTATGTGTCAGTGTCAGGTGGTATGTAGGATTTATTATGTGTCTGTCTCAGGTGGTAAGTAGGATTTATTATGTGTCTGTCTCAGGTGGTATGTAGGATATATTATGTGTCAGTGTCAGGTGGTATGTAGGATTTATTATGTGTCTGTCTCAGGTGGTATGTAGGATTTATTATGTGTCTGTCTCAGGTGGTATGTAGGATTTATTATGTGTCTGTCTCAGGTGGTAAGTAGGATTTATTATGTGTCTGTCTCAGGTGGTATGTAGGATTTATTATGTGTCTGTCTCAGGTGGTATGTAGGATATATTATGTGTCAATGTCAGGTGGTAAATAAGATTTATTTTGTGTCAGGTGATATGTTATAGTTACACTATAGATATTAATTGGTTAGCTGTAAATACACTCACAGTTTTTCATTCACGAGGGGCGGAGCCCCGAGTGAATAAAAACTGTGAGTGTATTTACAGCTAACCAATTAATATCTATTGTGTAAGTTACTTGTACCAGAGGACCAATGAAAGAAAAGCAAGTTGATAATTAGCCCCACCTACTACGAGGTGTCAAACCACGGTCCGGAGTCTGTATAAATAGCTGTCTCCATCTGCAAGGATCATACTTAGCTGCGTCACTGCTATTGCAAATTGTTGATAAAAAATTCGGAATTGGTGTACGTGTGAAGACATTGTACCTTTGGAATGTTGAAGATGCAGAAAACATGATTTTTGTCAGGTACAGGTACAGGGGTAGCGATTGTAGGCTTTTATATTCAAGTCGTGAACTCTGAAAAAAATTTATCTTTCTAGAAATTTTTTTAAGGGGGGATGGGTATGGGAAACATCGCCATTGAACTTTTTCTATATGGCAATCGGTGTACAGAAAAAAACTGAAATGATTTGTGACATTTTAATGAAAGTTTGAAATGGTATTGGAAGTAAAAAAAAAAATGCGGGGACTTCTGGTGTGAAATTGCTATTTGTATTTGGAGACGGGAAAGAGAATGACGAGAACTCGAGATAGGACGTATCATTTACTGATTAAGGATACGCGGAGAAAACATACAGAAACATTTATGAAGCGAACATCGACAAGCTAATGTTAGTATTTTTGAAATTAAAAATGTTGACTTAATTCATTCATCAGCCAGGTCTGGAAATTGACATCATTCATTCATCAGTCAAGGTCATGTCACGGTATGGCTTGATGCCAAAAAGTGGGCGTGACTTAAAAAACTGTGATTCTTCTGGCAAATACACCACAGCAACATCAAAGCAAAATCTAAATTTACCGCCAGTCCTATGGTACAAGTAGGATTTATTATATGTCAGTGTCAGGTGATAAGTAGGATTTATCATGTGTCAGTGTCAAGTGGTGAGTAGGATTTATTATGTGTCAGGTGGTAAGTAGGATTTATTATGTGTCAGTGTCAGGTGATAAGTAGAGTTAATTATGTGTCTGTGTCAGGTGGTTAGTAGGATTTATTATCTGTCTGTGTCAGGTGATAAGTAGGACTTATTATGTGACAGTATCAAGTGGTTAGTAAGATTTATTATGTGTAGGGTGGAAAGTAGGATTTATTATGTGTCTGTCTCAGGTGGTATGTAGGATTTATTATGTGTCTGTCTCAGGTGGTAAGTAGGATATATTATGTGTCAATGTCAGGTGGTAAATAAGATTTATTTTGTGTCAATGTCAGGTGGTAAGTAGGATTTTTTATGTGTCAGGTGATAAGTAGGATTAATTATATGTCAGTGTCAGGTGGTAAGTAGGATTTATTATCTGTCTGTGTCAGGTGGTAAGTAGGATTTATCATGTGTCAGTGTCAAGTGGTGAGTAGGATTTATTATGTGTAAGGTGATAAGTAGGATTGATTATGTGTCTGTGTCAGATGGTTAGTAGGATTTATTATCTGTCTGTGTCAGGTGATAAGTAGGACTTATTATGTGACAGTATCAAGTGGTTAGTAAGATTTATTATGTGTAAGGTGGAAAGTAGGATTTATTATGTGTCTGTGTCAGGTGGTAAGTTGGTTATATTATGTGTCTGTGTCAAGTGGTAAATAAGATTTTTTATGTGTCAATGTCAGGTGGTAAGTAGGATTTATTACGTGTCAATGTCAGGTAGTATGTAGGATTTATTATGTGTCTGTCTCAGGTGGTAAGTTTGATTATTATGTGTCAAGTGGTGAGTAGGATTTATTTTGTGTCAACGTCAGGTAGTAAATAGGATTTTTATGTGTCAGGTGGTATGTATGATTTATTATATGTCAGTGTCAGGTGGTATGTGGGATTTATTATGTGTCTGTCAGGTGGTAAGTAGGATTTATTATCTGTCTGTGTCAGGTGGTAAGTAGGATTTATCATGTGTCAGTGTCAAGTGGTGAGTAGGATTTATTATGTGTCAGGTGGTAAGTAGGATTTATTATGTGTCAGTGTCAGGTGATAAGTAGAGTTAATTATGTGTCTGTGTCAGGTGGTTAGTAGGATTTATTATCTGTCTGTGTCAGGTGATAAGTAGGATTTAATATGTGACAGTATCAAGTGGGTAGTAAGATTTATTATGTGTAAAGTGGAAAGTAGGATTTATTATGTTTCAGTGTCAGGTGGAAAGTAGGATTTATTATTTGTCAGTGTCAGGTGATAAGTAGGATTTATTATGTGTCTGTGTCAGGTGATAAGTAGGATTTATTATGTGTCAGTGTCAGGTGGTAAGTAGGATTTTTATGTGTCAGGTGATATGTAGGATTTATTATGTGTCTGTCAGGTGATAAGTAGGATTTATTATCTGTCTGTGTCAGGTGATAAGTAGGATTTATCATGTGTCAGTGTCAAGTGGTGAGTAGGATTTATTATGTGTCAGGTGGTAAGTAGGATTTATTATGTGTCAGTGTCAGGGGATAAGTAGAGTTAATTATGTGTCTGTGTCAGGTGGTTAGTAGGATTTATTATCTGTCTGTGTCAGGTGATAAGTAGGATTTAATATGTGACAGTATCAAGTGGTTTGTAAGATTTATTATGTGTAAGGTGGAAAGTAGAATTTATTATGTTTCAGTGTCAGGTGGAAAGTAGGATTTATTATGTGTCAGTGTCAGGTGATAAGTAGGATTTATTATGTGTCAGTGTCAGGTGATAAGTAGGATTTATTATGTGTCTGTGTCAAGTGGTTAATAAGATTTATTATGTGTCAATGTCAGGTGGTATGTAGAATTTATTGTTTCTGTGTCAGGTGGTAAGTAGGATTTATTATGTGTCAAGTGGTGAGTAGGATTTATTTTGTGTCTGTGTCAGGTGGTGAGTAGGATTTATTTTGTGTCAGTGTCAAGTAGTGAGTAGGATTTATAATGTGACAGTATCAAGTGTTAAGTAGGATTTATTGTATGTGAGTGTCAGGTGGTAAGTAGGATTTATTATGTGTCTGTGCCAGGTGGTATGTAGGATTTATTATGTGTCAATATCAAGTGGTGGGTAGGATTAATTGTAAGTCGGTGTCAGGTGGTAAGTACGATTTATTATGTGTCTGTGCCAGGTGGTATGTAGGATTTATCATGTGTCAGTATCAAGTGGTGAGTAGGATATATTATATGTCAGTGTCAGATGGTATGTACGATTTATTATGTGTCTGTGCCAGGTGGTAAGAAGAATCTATTATGTGTCTGTGTTAGGTGGTAAGTAGGATTTATTTTATTTTGTGTCTGTGTCGTGGTGAGTAGGATTTATTATGTGTCTGTGCCAGGTGGTAAGAAGAATCTATTATGTGTCTGTGTTAGGTGGTAAGTAGGATTTAAGAGGTATAATTTATTATGTGTCAGCGTCAGGAGCAACATAGATTTATTTTGTGCCATTGCTATGATTCAATTTGAGTCTGGCGGCAAAATTTTTTAAGTCATTGTCAGGTGGTTAGTAGGATTTATCACATGTCAATGTCAGGTGGTAACAAGGATTTATAATGTGTCAATGTCAGGTGGTAAGTAAGATTTATCACGTGTCAATGTCAGGTGGTACGTTGGATTTATCTTTAGTCAGTGTCAGGTAGTAAGAAGAATTTATCACGTGTCAATGTCAGGTTTTAAGTAGGATTTGTCACGTGTCAAAGTCAGGTGGTGAGCTTGACTTATTACGTGTCAACGACAGGTGGTACATGACAGTAGGATTTATCACGTGTCAGTAACAGGTGGAGAGAAGGATTTATCACATGTTAATGTCAGGTGGTAAGTAAGATTTATCACGTGTTAATATCAGGTTTGTTTGATTGTTGTTTTATCCCTCTCGAAAAATTTTCACTCATATTGAGACGCCACCACTTGCAAATTTATACATATACTCGGCACTCAGGGCTATTGAGCAGTGAGAGACTTTTTCGTGTCTTCACAGGACCTCAGTTTATACGGTCTCATCTGAAAGACCGGTCTCCAAGTTAATGTCAGGAAGTAAGAAGGATTTATCACGTGATAATCTCGGATGGTGAGTAGGACTTATCATATATCAATGTCAGGTGGTACATTTAAGTAGGGTTTATCACATGTCAGTGTCAGATGGTAAGAAGGATATATCACGTGCTAGTGTCAGGTGGTGAGTAGGATTTATCACGTGTTTATGTCAGGTGATGAGTAGGATTTATCTCGTGTTTATGTCAGGTGGTAAGTAGGACTTATCACGTGTCAATGTCAGGTTGTAAGATCCATTATGTGTCAGAAACAGGTGCTGAGTGAAATTTATAGAATGACATTTGAACGTTAGTTAGGTATTTTGTGTCAGTATCAGGTTGTAAAGCGTTTTTTTTATGTTTCAGTCACAGTTGGTAAGAGTGACTCAGTGTCAGGTAGTTAACAGGATATTTTATGCTTCGATGTCAGGTAGTAAATAGTTTATATACTAGATGTCAGGTAGTAAATAGTTTATATACTAGTATTAGCTTTATTATGTCGTATTCACGTAGTTTTGAATTTACTATGTTGGTGCAAAATTTAGAAATGATAGCTAGTTATCAATTTTGCATTTACATACACCTAGTAAATTTAAATTTACAACTTCTCAAGTCTAAGATAGCGTATGCAAGGCAATAAAATTGGTACGAGTACGACATATACAACTGTCCAAGACATCAGACTCACCATCTGTCCTAGAACTTTTCTGCGACGTATTTGAAAGGGTCTAAAACATGTCTACATTATGTAATTCATAGGTTCATCTGTGAGTGTCGCGAAACTTGATGTGGAAGAGGAGGGAACCATTAACATGAAGGAGTACGAATATACAGATAACTTTGGGGGTCAGAGTTTAGATAAACATTTTCTAAAATTTTTGAGAAATGTTCTTGGTTCGCACGTCATTCAGGCGTTTGAGGACTATTTACCGTTACAAATGCGAGAGTTAATGAGTTTATTTGAACTTAGCAAGTCCAATATGACACCAGAGTTCACCCGGAAGTTTGTTTTTGGAATTCCTCCCGTGTTGGTCAAAAGGTTTAAAGTGTTTTTTCCAACATTTCAAGAGGAAGAGCAGTTTGCTCCAAATTCAAAATACGGTGAAAAAATTATCATGTCTCAGAGCAGCCTGACAGCAGATGAAAAAATCGTGTGGCCCTTCCTTAAAGAGGCTGTGGAAAATGTCACAGAATACCTCCAGCATGCATTCGAAAATCTTCAAATACCTAAAAGCACGACAGTCCTCGTCACAGGAGGCTTCTCAAAATACTGGAAGCTGAGTGACCGCATGAGACGGAAATTCTCCACGAGGAGCATGCTATACATAGACGCGCCTGCGGAAGCGCCACTTATAGGAGCAGTTATGGTTGGCAGAGAGATAGAGGCTAATAAAATCTTTCAAAGTATGTGCATAACACTATTTTACGTTTTTTTTTACTTCAAAACACAAAGTGATAAGACATTGTTGCGGATCTTGAGAAAAAAAGGTGATAAACATCTTTCGGAAGTCTCAAGGGAATACATTTGTAAATAATAATCATACTATTAAAATCTTGGATTATACCTTTATAACGAGATAACGAGATTAACTCTATTGTTCTCTTTATTTTGTTGTCAGTATATATAACAGAGTAAATAAACAATATTTAAAACTGATTTATCGGCGGAAAAGAGAGGGTAACACCATTTTACTTTTTATATTTTCCTTGGAGAATACTTTTATAATTCTAAGAAAATTAAAAGTTGACACTAGATTTTCAATATTGAGCATGTTGATTTTTGATATGTTCCATGTCATGAGGTATGAAGACCGCTGCTACAGTTTGGTTTATTAATCAGTTTAAATCTATTTGAGCAGTGATCATTACGAATGATTTCTGAGTTATATCTAAATGCAAGTACCATATTTTGCAGCTATTATTGTTTAACTACAACTGTTTTGTTTCAGTTAACAAAATGCCTCAAAGGTTCTTGTAACATTAGTTTATTCAAGATTCAAAGGTCTGGAACAGACATCATGGTTCTCTTGTGAGACATTCTGTGAAAGCTATACAAAGTAAAAATACAAAAGAATTCATGTAGCTTCTGATGATGATAAAAAAAAATTCCAAGAAATCAATGTAGATTCACATGTAAACATTAGGCCTACCAAATTATTTTGACACATTCAAAACTTTGATTTAAGATTCTAATGTAAATTCTCACACATCATCAATAGTTAAACAGCACATAATCAGTTTGTATAGCTCAATTTTCCACAAATAAATTTACTAAGTTTAACATTAAACTGACTTATTAACAGTTTTAAAGATTTTAAATCTAAAAATAGCATCAATTGCAAGTTGCATCTGCAGCATACGAAAAATTACTAATATTATGCACAATAAAAGGTTTGCATAGTAAAGTATAAACATAACAATCTATTATTCAGACAATTTTTAACGATATAACTTACATGGTTGCCGCTATCTAATGACTAGAAATCTTTTCAATGAAAATGCTTGTGCATTAACCTCGTGCAGATTACAGGAAATGCAGATATACAAGAGAAAACAAAACTAAATAAAGACGGACATAAAATTTCCGGATTGATCCGGTGTGGTAACATTACAACAACTTTTGCCTTGCTGTAGTGTACAAAAACGTTAATGTTGATTTTCGAAATTCTGTTACTGATTACATTCAGAAAAATCAATCTTGACGTGTTTTATTAATTTTTCTGTGCTTTAATTTAAACAATATGGCATAAAATACATACGAATGAATCGGAACTGAGACAACCCTTAATCAGCTGGTAATTGGCGACTTCACTTAACGTAGACAAGCTATATAGATGTAGCTAAATATATAGTGATTGGACAAGTGCTGTTAAGAAGTAAATGTTTACATGCTTAAAAATATATCGACTATAATCGTAGATGCGTAAACCTGTAATTGGAAACGTCACTGTAGGTAGATAATTCAAGCTACGAAGCTAAATATGATTTTAACAAAAATTTCGAACCCGATTGCAGACAACTCAATTATAATTTACACTTGGAAAAGTAAAATACTGTATGTTATATTTTATTATCCCCTTGTTCAGTTTTACTTATGTGATTGGAATATGAGAGATTCAGACAATGGAGGAATAAATTAGAAAAATCAAGGCAACATATGATCCCGGTGCAAATTACGTCACTTCCGTTTCGCACACAGGACAAACTAACCCACTCACCAACACACACACAGCGCATGCTCCGTGATCGGAAGGTCTTGAGTTCGAATCTCGGCCGCGACTGACCTAAGTCGATAAAAAATAGGTAGCAACTGTTCCTTCGCCACTTTGAAGTGAAAGTTGCGGGTCCTTCAGATGAGACCTTAAAAACCGAGGCCCCGTGTCACGGCAAGCGTTGGCACGATAAAGATCCCTCACTGCTCAATAGCCCTGAGTACCGAGTAAAGGTATAAATTTGAAGCCCTTCACCGGTATATGGTGATGTCTTTATATGAGTGAAAAATTCTCGAACGGGACGTAAAACAACATACAATCAATCACACACACATCCTCACACACACACTCGCACACACCCACCCAACCACACACAGCGCATTACTATATCCCCTCTGGAACTCCGTTGAGAGGGGATAATTACATGAAAATATTATAGTTCTCTATTCATCACTAGATACTAGATGGCAACATAATAAATATTTAATTTCTGTATTCCTGACTACAACAGGTTTACGTGCTGTATATTACGGGTTTACATTATCAGACTTGCTTCGGATGTACCTATATTTGCAGAATGAGTAACCAAGCTAAACTTGCATTTATAAATGTACTATTAGATTTGGATGCTACATCTGACATATTTTATGGATGAGTAATTAGGATAAAATGTTTCCGAATTTTGCACCTGATTTTGTAAACGCCTCAAAATGACTCATTTCAGTGGTTATTTTCCTTGAGAAAATAGTGTCCACAGCCGTCGCCCACTTCGTATTCGGATATGTAAAATTCTTTTAAAAATCACTCTTCTCAAAATCTTTGCGGGCGATGTATGTGGTCTATAATCTGAAAGAAAAAATCACTGAAAATTGATGTCTACTGCAACTTTTTAAGATAGTACGGAACCATTAGCTTTACAGGGAAAAATACAGGGACAGATTTGTACTGAAACTGTACCTTTTTCTTTTTTCATTCAACATTATTCATTTAAATAGTTCTGTAAATAAAATATTTAACGAATAATTCACAGACAAACAAACATACACAAACGTAACATAGAATATTGCATTTCCTGGTGAAGGGAAATAATTCATTTTCCTCATAATTACTTTAAATATATGTTATTTCATCGTAGGCCTACCATCCGAAATCCGGCAGATGTCAGGTGACGAACAAGACGTTTTGAGTACTTCATTGCAAAGAGGTCGATTTGCTGTTCGTGACGTCAGTATTAATGTCATAGGTCACGTCGGATCTGAACCAAAATTACTAATAAGAAGCTTTGTCATGGGCCAGAAAAGAGAAAACAAAAATGTTAAGGAAGATTTGTGTATATTAATCGGTAGAAGAAAGCATTCAGTCAAGAAAAAAAGTGAGATATGGATTTGCTCAGAATATTAAAAGATCAAATTCAATATACTTTGAATACACTAATTTCTTGGGGATTTTATTTCGTTTTTTTTTGTGGTACAGGTACAAAGAGACCCATGTGCTAAATTTCTAAGATAAAACATCTTAACATTTCTCTGTTCACGAAATCAAATCCCCACGAATCCGAAGACCACAAAAACTTAACCATACGAAAATAAGTAATGTTACACTAGTCTTTCAAATGATTATTTTAAATTATTTTTGCAGACAGACTAGATTCTTCCTTTACTACATTTATGCTTCCTGTCCCACAGAATTGGAAATCTCTCTACATGGCTGGTAGACCTGTTATAAACACCCAATACAGTACAGCAAGGTGTCAATTTCAATGATTTTGTTTGCTCACCTGAGCCAAAGACCAAGGTGAGCTCATCTGATCGAAATTCGTCCCTTCGTCTGTCCGTTAACTTATATATATATATATATATATATATATATATATATATATATATATATATATATATATATATATATATATATATATATAAAGCACTAAAAACCAACAACACTGTATATCCTAAGTGTCGGATCTACTACGTAGACGTCACGCACGGCCAGGAACACGTTAAGTTCCTAGACAGTACCGTTGTCAGAAACCTTTAAAGTTAAGCACTGAAAGTGGTTCGTTGTCATGAACATACAGGTGAGGTTATGATAAAATCCGTCCGGTGTCATGCAAAAGATACAAGAATTTATAAATAATGCCTAAAATTTAACGTTTTTGACAAATTCTAAGAATAAATTTGAATTTTGGGAAACAGATACAACATTCAGTATTCCATACAAAGATTTATGTATTTGATATCCTTAATACATTTTGAGGAGTTTTGGTTGGCGATCATATGCCAATGTGTGAGGGCATGATCGTGAGCTGGAAAATTATATATTTCTTATATTTAATTCATCGAAATGGTACTTTTATTTTAAAATATGAAGAGAAACTTCATTTTAAATGTATTAGGCAACTGACAGCCTTTTGTAGCTAACATGTTTTAAGAAATCGCAATTTATAAGCAAAAAGTCCGTTGTCAGAACATGTTAAGTTTATCTGGTCCGGTGTCATTTTTCTTAACATGCAAGTAAATCAATAAAATGCAACAGAAATGATCAAATATATGCTTAATTTAAAAGAATACAAATCATATTACAGATAATATTGAATCTAGGGTTCGTCTTAAAGCAGCTCACGCGAACGTGCTAACTATTCTGCGATGTTTTTATTTTCAATTCATTTTCTCTAAGGAACCTTCATCCTAGCTAGTATGCGCCGGTGCTAGACCCGCCTTTGGTTATTGAGCAGATTTTTAAAGAATTTCTGTATACCGTATATTCCAACTTTTATCACCAATTATGCCCCCACCCTACCCATGAGGGTCATGATTTGAACAAAATTGAATTTGTTTTTGTTTGTTTGTTTGTATTTTTAATATCCCTCTAGAAAATTTTTCACTCATAAGGAGACATCACCACTTGCCGGTGGAGGGCCAAAAATTTAGACCTACATTGTATTCTCGGAACCCAGGGCCATTGAGAAGTGTGGGATCTTTTTCGTGCCAGAGTCTACAAAATTGAAAGTACACTATGTACTTTCACACAAGTATCATTTCTTCTGATCCAGAAGTTCTTGAGAAGAAAATTTGGAAAGAGTTATTCTTAAATATTCTATTTAAACTTTGATCACCTATTGTAGCCCTACCCTTCCCCAGATATGATCTGAATAAAAATGAATCTACACTTTATAATAAAGCTTTCACATAAGTTTCAACTTTTCTGACACAATGATACTTGAGAAGATTATTTAAAGATGTCAGTAATTTTACACTAATTCTTAACTATACATGTACTTCCTTGAAAGAGGGCATGACCATTAATTTGAACAAACTTGACTCCCTTTATCCACGTTTGCTTTCTGGCAAGTTTGGTTGAAATTGAAATTGGCCAGTAGTTCCTGAGAAGAAGCTGAAAATGTGAAAAGTTTACCGACAGACAGACGAACGACACAAAAATGTGATCAGAAAAGCTCACTAGAGCTATCAGCTCAAGTGAGCTAAAAATGTCAACCCCTACACCAATTATATCGGCACTCGTATGAGAATTAAGCAAAAAAAAAATGAATTCCAGATAACATTACTACTAAACAAATAACTTTCAATCTAATATCCATGTATATGTAATGAGAAAAAAGAATAGACTGATTTTTCAGATATCTCAAGAACTACGGTATTTTAATATATCATAGTTAAGTAAACCATTGCTGGACACAATTTTCTGAGCAACACCATTTCTCCCTATACAGTATTGCGAGTAATGCTAAATAAATACAACTTGTTTACTTATTTATCAGCCAAACACTTTGTCTATTCTTCTGTCTGTCTAGCTGTTTGTCTGTCTGTCTCTTTCTCTGTGTATGTGTGTCAATCTCTCTCTCTCTCTCCACGAGCTTAGGCTGTCCGAAGTTAATTCTATGTTTAACGTCATCCGCGCGCGTAGGTTTCAGAGAAATTTGGCACTTTGAAAAAACAAGCAAATCCACATTTTTTTAATGTTTCTGTTCCGGTTTGCCCTTACTTTTAGCACCTAAAAAACTACATTCCATAGAGATAGACAATACTTGGACCCTCTATGAGGTATATTTGAGCTGAGTCTAATCAGTCTATCATTTAAAGATACAGGTTTACTGAAATGATTATTTAACCAAGAGTCTGTACATGATTACAAATACTAACAGTATTTTAATTCATGTAGATGAGTAATGACTCTTTTGTTTGAAAATTCTGTTTAATTTTTTCCTCCCGCCCTCGTAGGTTTTGAAGTTTATAGGTGACGTTAAACGTAGAATTAATTTCAGCCAGCCTTAGTAAATATTCAACACAATATATCGGCGACAAAATGTGCAAATGTTCACAGTACATATTGTCGCCGACGACAAAACGTGCCCATGCTTGACTGTACATTTTGTCTTTCATTAAATAGGAGGAAGAAAAGGCTCGTCTCGGTACAAATTGTCGCCGGCGACAATATGTACTGATGGACGACGATATGTGCAGTCAGGGTAGGTACATTTTGTCGCCGACGACAATTTGTACAATACAACAATATGTACCGTCACACTCCTCTTTTTGATGGCATGCTTAACAATACCTAAAACAACATAAGATCGTCCTTCGTAGTGTATAAAGTACAGTAGCGACAACGGACCGATGACAACGGACTGAATTTTCGTATCTTGTCATGACAACGGGCAAAAAATGAAATAAATCAAAATTTTCAATTTTAATTTGTTCTCATTTTTCTGTAAAGGCTTACAACATGTCTTGATACTGTCTGCACCAGTTGGTGTGTATATTATATTTACGAAAAATATAACATCTCAATAGGAAAATGTATCAAATCCACAAGTGATTTCAACAGGGTTAATGTCGCCAACGCAAACTCTTCTTTTATTACTTCTTTTTAACGGCTGAAATTCATACAACACCAAATGAGGTGTCAGCCCTGTTTCCCCTTGTAATTTCAGACATTGTTATAGATAATTTAACTTGAAAAATGAAAAAATTCTCACAGTCTGTCTTCTCAAGTCATGACACCAGACAGATTTTATCATAACTTCACCTGTATGTTCATGACAACGAACCAGTTTCAGTGCTTAACTTTAAAGGTTTCTGACAACGGTACTGTCTAGGAACTTAACGTGTTCCTGGCCGTGGTCACGGTCACGGATAGAAATTTAGATAAAGTACTAAAAATGACCAACGACACGAACAATAATAATTGTCAAATTTTCGGGACGACCTGTCCCTTTCTCAGGACAAAGAAAAAAGTTAAGAAGTCATAAAAACAAAAGAAATAGAGAAACAAAAACAATTGGCACTACTACTAAACTACCAAAATATTTACAGTGTTAGCTGTTTAATTTGAAGTTTATAAACAGTTGTGAACAAAGAAATCCGGAGCGCTATGAATTGCGTCCGGTCTATCGGGTGTACTCTGGTGAAGTGGCACCCCGGGGTTGGATGCAAATACAAAGCGGAATCAAAGTTTAACATCAAAATATATAAAGTATGTAGGGAAAACATAAACAACTTTAGTATTCTTGACACAAAAAGCAGGACTTTTTTTAGTCATGTAAGTGTGTATCCTCATGTATACGTAGGCGTCGCGGGTTCGAATCCCACTGCGGGACGTGGAGACCGGTCCTTCGGATGAGACCGTATAAACCGAGGTCCCGTGTCGCAGTAGGTGCTGGCACGAAAAAGATCCCTCACTGCTTAATGGCCCTAAGTGCCAGGTATAGGTCAAAAATTTGTAGCCCTCCACCGGCAAGTAGTGGCGTCTCCATATAGGTAAAAATATTCTCGAAAGGGACATTAAACAACAATCAATCAATTAATCAAGATCATGGGTTCGGGCGTGAGATTGGCCCACAATAGGATGTTTCCTTCACGTCAAGGATTTTTCACTGAACGGGATGTCATCAATTGCCAGTAGAATGCTGCAAATTTATAACTGTACTTACGGTCTCTGAGTAGCAAGAGAATTTTTGCGTTCAAGCATCTACATGTACTTCGATAAGGGACCTCAGTTTAAATTGTCTCATCCGAAGGACTTATCTCAAAATTCCAGATAGAATTCAAACCTGCGACTCGAAAAAGGAAGCGAGAACTTAATTAACTATAATCACTGCGTCATGCGTATACAAAAGAAAATGATAGGGAGTTAATAAATTTAAAAAAAAAACTTGAATAATTTCATGAACAGCATCTTTCATATTAACTGAAGCATTCCCAGATAGCGCATATTTGAGTTGGCTCAAATCGTGACGTGGCCGGGGGCAACAAAAGGGGATCAAAGGCTACTGGGGACACATGTTGAAAATATTGATGAACAGTAAGGCCATGATCAGTTACACTGATATGCAAGCATCCACAGATCATGAAGTGCGAATTCAAGTTTGATGAAACCCCGGGAGTTCAATAGGGAATCAAAAATGTAAGAAATTTAAAATCATCTTTTAAAATATTGGTTATTCCTGGACATTAAGCAAGCAAACCTAATGCATGATGGCAGAAAGCTATTTGTCCTTACCAAATTTCTGAAGTGTGTGTCCTGAGAGCTCACCTTGTTCGTGGGGCTCATTTCATCATATATTTAATATATGCTTAATCTTTAAATATCTCTTTTACTCCTATGACAGTCTCACTAAAATGTAATAGTTTTGTCACATGATTCAAGAGGCCCTGAACCAAATGGGACAAAGTAAATATCAAGGGAAACACGTGTTACATGTTCTCAAGTGACGACCATCAATATTGATACATGTACAGCGTACTTAGGTGATGAGCAATGCATTGTACATGTACTTAGGTGACCAGCAATACGTGGTACATGTACTAAGGTGACGAGCAATGCGTGGTACATGTACGCAGGTGACCAGCAATACGTGGTACATGTACTCAGGTGACCAGCAATACGAGGTACATGTACGCTGGTGACCAGCAATACATGGTACATGTACTCAGATGACCAGCAAGGCCCATGAACCTTTTTGTTTTGTAACAATGAGCCTTATAGAGTCCGGATAGGACCATGTAGTTCACATATTGAATATGGATAGGACCATGTAGTTCACTATTGCATCATCGAGGTTTGGGTCGATGGTTTGTTTGGTTTTTTTTAATGTCCCTTCGAGAATTTTTCACCCATATTGAGACGCCACCACTTGGCGGTGAAGGGCAGCAAATTGAGACCTGTACTCGGGACTTACGACCTTTGAGCAGCAAGGGATCCTTTTTTTGTACCAGCACCTACTGCGACATGGGGCCTCGGCTTATACTGTCTCATCCGAAGGACCGGACTCTACGTCCCGTAGTGGGATTTGAACCCGCGACTTCAGGGTCATATTCTTACTCCGCGACTTGGGTCGATGGTGCAATGACAAAAGTGCGATAGCGCATTTTTAAAATGCCTAGTCGTTGGTGCAATGACACGATGGAGTAATAGTGCGACGACGAGATGATACGATAGCAAAAATGACGATGACACAATGACACTATACTAGCTAGTTATCGCACCATCGTCTTCGCACCTTCGACCCAATGGTCGATGCATAGTGGTGCGATAGTGAACTACATGGCCCTATCCGGACCCAATTATTGAGAGTCTTCTGTTAATAGATGATATTCAATGTCTTTATTATTTCTTACTTTTTACAGATCTCTTGGACCTAATGAATCTTATCGAGATATTCACAAATCACATCCACAGGCAAGTCCTAGACAGCAGGAAGTTACTGTTGGTAAATATTGTTATATAATCCTTAAATTACGGGGGGAAATGACTCAATTTTGATTACTGCGCAACTATAATCCTACCTCTAGTGCATGAGAGGTGTGAAAAATTACTTGTCAATGGTTTGTCATTAATATTTATGCGAGTAAAACTATAAGGATTATACCTTCATCAACCACATGTAGTTTGTGGTCACCTATGAACTGTTAAATTTTCAGGTGACCTATTGCTATCTTTTTCGTTCGTCGTCGTGCGTTCTGCGGTCGTAATTTTTAAAAAACATTTTAGCTCCTTCTTTTGAACCACTGAACTAGTTTCAACAATTTTTGGCATATGCCATCAGTTACGAAAGCCCATTGAGCTCATTTTCGTAGGTAAAAAAAATATATTTTTCGCGTTAAAACGCGAAACTTTCGCGAATAAACTCGAAACTTTCGCGAATAAACGCGTACCTTTCGCGTTATAACGCGAAACTTTCCCTGTAAAACAGAGACATTTGCATAAGTTTCCATTTTCTTTTACTTTAATGATCTAGTTTATTCATTACAATAAAAAACGAAAGACTATTTTGAACTTGGATTATCACAAGCTGAAATTTTATGTTTTCTCGCCATTGAGTGTGTCTCTCCTCTTTCTAAATCTTTTTTTGTCGTCACATTTTGTCCTTCTTAACGCTGTCCAAACAATTTCAAAGTCTATGCGAGTTTTTCCATAGTGAAACTTTCGGGAAAATGATCCCTCTTTTCGGCGTCATTTTTAACACCCTCTATAGAATTTGAAGTAAAATTAAAATCTCAGAAAATTGACAACAATGAGGTAAATTTGTATATTTTACGGAACAATTGTGTCACATCATATGAGTTACCTAATTATACGAAAATTGGATGACAAATATTCGTATCCAAATTAATGATTCATCTCCGGATCCGAAAGACTCACTGTAGAAATACAACATCATATTTTTAGGTTGCGCCATGTGGTCATACCATTACTTACACAATATTATATATATATATATATATATATATATATATATATATATATATATATATATATATATATATATATATATATATATATATACAAACTCTTCGCTGTATATATCTTAAGCAGTTTTAATTTATAGCGCTAGTCTTTTTAACAATCCCTTGTATAAATTATGGAGAAAATCAAGAAAAGAAGACCCCTTCTCCCTGATAAATTTGTGATTAACAGTATCCTATTATAATTATTCTTTAAAGCATCATATGACACGTTAAACTCATGAAATGATACATTGTTCACTCACTTTTAAGCAAGATTTCTAAAGTGTATGATTTATAGTCTAGAATTATGGATTTCTTTACTAGTAGTAAAGTTAGAGTGAACTTTAATGATAAAAAAAAACAGCCTTGAAAAAGAAAGCGACGAGTGGAGATCTTCCTGGAAAAAAAGATCGTCTAAAGAATTTCTGGGATTCAACAGGTGAAAAACAAGAAAATATTTTAAGGAATATTCATTTTATTAATTTGTAGGGTTTTGTGAGATTAAATGCAAAATCAACACTAATCTGTCCATTTCTCGCATCAATTCTTTTTTTTACATCTGAAGAAGAAATGTCATTTTATAAATTCATAGAAGTTCCCGTCTGCGTTCATGTTTCTTATCTGTCAGTCAAGATCACAGGTTCCTGAGTAACATGACTATATATGTATAATTTCGCGTTATAACGCGAAAGTTACGCGTTTATTGGCTAAAGTTTTGCGTTATAACGCAACATTTTTTAACCTATGAAAATGAGCTCAATGGGCTTTCGAAATCAGTAGGTGAAGGGGTTCAAAAATTGTGAATTTTATAGTTCCTGCCTCCATCAAAATTAGTGCTATCTTTAAAATTCTGTTTTACTCCTGAACACCAAGCCATCAAACAGATGGCATCGTTGTAATGAGCACTGAGTCTCTACAAAAATTGTGAAATTCATGGTCCCCAGGATCAGGTGCTCTGAGTTAGAACGAGGGTCTTATGACACATAGTGGAAAATCATGAATTCTCTGAAAAATCCCCCTCCCCGTGTATATTTATCAGATAAACTAGGTGCATGATGATGAGTAAGGGTGTTTTTTCCATATTGTAAAATCTGTGGCCCCAGGGGTCAGAGGTTCAGGTGTAAGGGTGGGTTTCTTTAGATTATATAGTGAAAACGCATTAATTATTTGAAAATTTTCTTCTATGCTCCTGGGTGTTTAGCAGATTGTGTATATGGTAATGATGAGCAACGATGCTTTCCAAAAATTATGAAATTTGCGGCCCCTGGGTCAGGGGGTTCTGGTGGGAGGGGGGCTCTTTTGATAACAATGACAATGCTTTATATCTTTAAAATCTTCTCTTCTCCTGGGTATTAAGCAAACAAAAAAAGTTCTTAGTTATGCTTAGCAAGGGTTCCTCTTCCAAAATTATGATTTTGATTTTCATGACCCCTGGGTCAGAGGTTTTGGGGTAAGGGTGGGTCTGTGTTGAATCTATAGTAGAAATGCATTATTTCTTTGAACATCTTCATTCTTCTTTGCTTCTTGGGATGTAGGGGGCAGTCAGAGTACAAAGTTGTAATAAGGAAGGGGTATTTTTAGTAGATATTCGAAATTCAGGACCACTTGGTTAAGTGTTCTAGTGCAGGGCAGAGCTCTTTTTTGTATTCTACTGGGAGAAGTTAATCCGCTTTGCTATTCACCTAAGATAAATAATCACTGTAGATAATGTAACCGAAAGGTCAATTGAATAAGAGAATTGTACAAGAATTTTTATAATATATAATACAGAAAATACTTTCATAGTGTTTAATGGTCAGGTAGACTTGTAAGAAATAGATAAATAAAAATGAGAAAAAAGTTCCTGTCTTTGTACATTAAATGTTCTTCAAAGACCGAGAAAGGCCAATGTGAAAGAAAATGAAGTGACTTTTCTAAAAGTACTCAAACTCTAGTGTTTTGTTTAGTCTGCAAGGTGATAGTGACAAATGGAGGCAAGTCAGGCAAGTAGATATATATACTTTAAGATTTTTTATTGAGTACAAGACTAATTACTTTGTTGATTCCAGATTATTCTATTTCTTTTGCTGAATGCCCTGTTCATACGGAGAGTTAAATTCAAATTAAACAAAGTTACTGTGAATTAAATTTGAACCGTGTTCACACGGAGAATTTCGCACAAATTGGTTTAATTCGAATTAATTTAAGTACTGCGCATCAAATTACTTCGCATTAGCACTGTGTGAGCGAAGCTAATTCGAATTAAATTCCGACGCATGCGTTATTGGCAAAATTAAATCACATGCCACATGTCAGCGGTCAAATATACGTGCTTATGCTTATGCTATTTTTTAGTGAAAAATATAGAAAAAAAAATGTTAATCTCCAAAATGTGTACAGACACTACCCCATTGTGTCAAATGGATCTACTGCTCTGCATAAGGTGACGTATGAACGCAATTTAATTCGCATTATTTTACTTCGAATTAGATATTCAATGCGCATTCGTGTGAACAGGGCATGAGTAACTGAGCTTTATCTACCAGTTTATTTTGTTTTATTTGATACTTCTCTGGATCCTTTACAGTGTTGTATTATGTTCAGTTGACCTTTTTACCTTTCAGTCCTTATTTGGTTATCATTACGTCAGAAAGTGTAGCTAAGATTTGAATAATATATATTTTCTAACGAAATGAAATTCCCACGAATCAGTATTTTTTCGTAAACCGAAAATTTGACCCCCACGAAAATAAGATTTAACAGAAGCTTTAATTTGATGGAAAAATAATTTCGAATGATAGTTTCTTCTAAGTAAATTATGTTGTCAAGTTTGATCCCGAAGTAAGATTATGATAACTTTGAGATAAAAAAGAAACATAGCAAGTAAATGTCCATTTCTTGAGTGTATTGAGATGGAAAAATCTACATGAAGCACATGGTCATATACGAACTATCCCGAAAGTCCTTGGTGTGGTGGAGGGAGAGGGTCAAGAAGGGTTGCAATAGGAGACCAATGTTAAAAACTATAGTACCTTGAAACATATTCTAATTCTAGATTTTAAGAAGGAACATTTTCAAACTATTATGGAAATCTGTTAAGTGGTACATGTACGATTTGTAGTACGATTTGTAAATGTGTCTCATAAAAAGCTTAAACTTTACTTATAAGTTTGGAAATATCCTTTTGTAATATGGATTCGAATTCAAATCATTTCATTTTGAACCATACGGGGATGATTAGGGCTTTAATGTTTTTTTAAATAGAATAAATACTAAAAATGCACATTATTATATTTTATTACATTATATGAATGACAATGCATGTAAGTGAATGTTAAGTTATTTCTTATATGATCCCGGTGTAATCATATATAGAAGGCGTATATCGCTCTAAAAAGACCAGAATAAGAAATGGTTACGTGACAAAGCTTTTTGATGCAATATATCTAACCGGTAATTGGAAGTACAGAATTCATTTTCCCAGGTGTATCTCCCGAGATTTATGACCAAGAAGTAACCCCTACCCCCCGTCCGCTGGATGTAGAAGTAGCCCCTACCCCCCGCCAGCTGGGTGTGCCACATGAGAAGAATGTAGATCAATTGTATCCTCTCCGAATCCGAGAGCTAGGCTCCGAGTATGATGTGTTTCAAAGCCGGAAATCTTTGCTGGACTGGAGACCAGTGTACATCCTGATATATAGCCTGGCCCTGAAAACTACAGACCTCGTACTGGAATCGGACAACGGTCCCGACTCACGAAAGAAAACTCTACTAGGTATTGACTTTTGAGTATCATAATCTATTATCACTATCGCATCACTATCTTTTGCACAGAAAAGAAGAAACATGGCTTTCATATCCGTGGCTAGACCTTTTCGGATGTAATTTATTATGCTTTTTGACCTTGAAGATTTGTCTTTCACAAAAACATTTAGCCTTGGCTACAACGTTCGAATGTCGATTGAGAGAATTTATATATAATTAGGGCTTTCATGTTTAATATGTGCATCACCTGTGACAAGAACTTTCTGAAAATACTATTTTTGACCTCTTGAGGTTTGACCTACTTTCAAACATTTTATCCTTGGTCGTATCTTTTGTACCAGAAAACTCAGGACTGTCTTTTTTCACATGTGACAAGATTTTATCGAATGTATGATTTTTGACCTCATGACCTCGACCTAAAAGATTGCAACATCGTAAAAATTAGGTATAGCTACATTATTGCTGCTTGGTTTACATTAATATAATTCAATTTTGGGAAATATATGTTCAGAATTCACAAAAAACTTTTCAAAATTGAAATATATTTTTAGTACGATAAACAGACAAGACAGTTACATTATGTCACTGTAAATTTTCCCTCTATCAATATAGGATCCTGAAACCGTTGAACCAAAGTTCTGTGAACTTACTTGTTGTCCTCTGCTTTTGCAAGGGTGCGGGGGATTAAAAATCTTTCGTCTGTCACCTTAAACCCTGATCATAACTTATAAATGGGAGAAGATATTAGGGCTTTCACATTTCACAGTACATTTCTTGTAACAAGACCTTTCCGAATACACTGTAATAAATGAACCTGTAACTGAGGTTTGACCTACTTTAAAAAAATAACATTGGCAAAAAATTTTGAATGAGAGAAGATAGGGATTTCATATGTGGTTTACCTGTGACGAGACTTCCGGATCTCCAGATTTATCACTTCTTGACCTTGAGGTATGACCTAGGCCAAAATTCAAAAAATGTTTGTTTGCCCTTTTCCGACCCAGATTTTTAACAATCGGTAGGTAGGTAGGAAAAATATTTTATTTTTTCTTCTAAAAATTATACCAAGAAACATACATGTAAGTGCCACAATGCTTATTTGAGATACTTTCGCTTAATTGCTGCTCTTTAAAAGGTTATTTTTGAAAGATTTCCTTTCTACATCCCCATGAAAAATTGTAGGTCCAACCTAGGCCCAAGGACTCATGAAATAACCAAATTTAATCTAAACTACATGGGAATTCTGAATATTAGTATGACTAATGTGGCCGTGCTATTTTAAAGGAAAAATGATTTTTTCCCCTACATGCATTGTACATGGTCAGAAAGCACTTTATGCTGTAATAAGAAGAAGGAATAGACATGTTTTCTGTTACATGCCTAAAGTTTAAAGGTTTTGAAGTTGTTTTTTTTTTTGTCTGCTTGTATTCATTTGTGTAAACAAAACAAAAAAAAAATCAAAGGGGTGGGTTAAAAATCAGAAAAAAAATGAAAAGAGCATTTTTTTTTTCAATGGAAAATAATATATCAAGTGAAAACTCATCATATCAAAAATTTAAAAAAAATTATATTAAAAAATGACGTAAATCCTATTGAGAACTTCTTTCTGGCTTAGAAACATTGTTAATGTACTTGACTTTTGACTTAATACTCTGTGTTTCTAAGCCCATTTCTCTTCCAACTTTTAAGTTTTAGTACATCTATGTATGCTGACTTAATGTATATGAATGCAAAATCAGCAGCCTTGTTTGCCACTTTTCCTCATCAACGATGTTTTTTTTTTTACTTTCGGTTTTAAAAATCATCTCCAATTTTTATAATTCAATTAAATTTATTTAATAATAATTTATTTTTGATGTCTCTAACAAATCATGCTCAAATTCTCAGTCTTTTATTTTCTATCCCCTATTACTACTTTTGTCAGCTGTGTGCGTTCAAGCGAGAAGTGATCGCACAGCTTTGCGAGCATTAAATATCTAAGGCGGTATTGCTGCATGCACCGAATAAACAAATAAAGCTAGTGTAGGATTCACTTACATTTTATTTTTAACGCCACTAATCAAAGGATCTAAATGACTCTAAAGAAGTTTTAACAAGATTAAACAAACTGGTTTGTACGAAAGCCGGATAGGCTCATTTTTGACAAGATAAAAAAAATTAACTCGTTATAACGAGATACATGTAGTTATCTCGTTATAACGAGTTAGTATCTCGTTAGAACGAGTTAGTTATCTCGTTATAACGAGTTTGTATCCGGCTTTCGGAGGTTTGAAATTAATATTCAAATTAAAAAAAAATTGTAAATTAAAAGAGCAATAAAATATTTCGAGTCGGGCTAATTTTTGTGGGTCGGTCAAACAAACAAAATTTTAATTTAGGCCCTACTTTTCAAAAATTTTGACATTTGTCAATATGTTTAAGGGTTTTCATATTTCACTCGTGCAATACCTGTGAGAAGACCTTTCAGAATATTCTATGGTCTTTGACCCCATGAACTTGAAGTTTAACCTATTTTATCAAAAATTTTAACATATGTAATAACTTTTCATTTTTTTTTTCATATTTCACACTTATTATAATGGTTAGGACATTTGCATAAAACGCATTGAAGACTTCAAATAGTGGAATGATCTGACAACCCTTGGAATGGACTAGTCTATGGGTATATAAGGCAAAGCTTGGGGTAAGTCAGGCATTCAGAAGTTAGCTGAAGAAGTTGGCTGTTGAATCAGCAATAAATAAGTTAAAGGTAAAAGCAAAATAAAAGTATAAATGTTATAAGCACCAGTGGCAAGTATCCTAAGGAATAGATGTTAAGGGGGGCCGACCCTCTGATAAGAGAGATAACTTTCCAAGTAAAATATCCTAGTATTACTCATAGTTTAATTTATCAGAGTTTAATTATTGAGACCTTTGAGCAGTCAGTTCGATCAAACTTAGTATATGATGGAAACATTGCCTTATATTTCCTTTCACTGTACTTTCAAATTGTTTTATTATGTTTGACAAAAAAATATTTAAATCCAGTTTTAAAACCCTTAAAAATTGAGTAAGTTCTATCTTTTAAATGATCATTTTAAAAATGGTTTAATGTATCAAGCACCAAATGTAGAATTTTTATTAGTATTACATTTTTTTTCCAATGAAAAAATATTTATAAGAAAGATAACTCTTGCTAATAGATGTATTGTTTTCTTACAACCACGTATAACATTGTGATATTCTGACTTAGGAAGCAGCGCTTCATTATGATTTCTAATATGAATTTAGTAGGTATGACACTAAATATTATTTTCATATACACCGCATATTTCTAATTTTATGTTGTGATAATAAATTATTACTCTTCCTAATCTCTGTGTTAAAATTTCTTCATATTATGATCGGACATAAAAATCATTTCTGAAAAAATAAGCAGCGCTTCATACCTCATACTATTTTTCATTTGATTTTGATGCTGTAGCTCTTGATGAAAATCAATGGTGGGAAGTTTAAAAAATTTTCGTGAAATTTGGAGCAGAGGGTCATTAGTCCTTAAGTTCTGGGTGTAGTAAATCTAAAGAAGATTGAGACACCCTGTTCTTATCTATCAATAAGAACCTAGGGGAGAAATACGATGCAAGTAGTACCTTACCCGGTCCCCGTCTCTAGATGAGAGAAATTTTTAGTACTGTGTGATTTACCCTCAGACAGAGCAGTCTTAATAATCATTCCAATCATCAACTCAGAGTAAAAGAAAAACTTACACATCCCTTTGAAGAACCCGATTATACACATTACGGTATATTTCCCTTCACTATACATTTATCTTTAGAAGTACTACTAAAATGGAAAAGTGATGGCATTGTCACGGCTACTCTATATTAGTCAACTCAAACAACCCAAGAATTCAAAAGTACAAGTCATGTCCAGGCAAACACAGTATACTAAAGCGGATTCAAGGGAATCCTCAACTTTCCTGGAAACCATGTCAGCTCAAACAGAGCAGAAAACTCGCAACAGACCGGGAAAGAACCTACGACTGGTGTCTGAGGTTCCATCTGGAAAGACTCCAGTGAATCCGAATCCGTGGATTACTGTGAAATGATGCGACCCGTACAGGTCAAGGGGCTGTCCGATATTAGGCGGATTCTTCAGGGAATTGACCTAACACCCTTCCAGTCAATCATTATCCTTGCTGGTGGATCATTTATCCAACAAGGGAACATCATCTCATGAAAGCCTACGACACAAATGTTCCAATCATTAAAATGCGTCGTTTAAATAACACAAAATATGCCTGGAAATGTGAATGTTTGTTTCTTTTGTGTTGAAACTGACCATTCATCTCAGAACACTTCATATCGCGATTTCCTCGCAGTTATCTAACTAACTGCCGTTCTTTTTGGGGAGTCGAGGAAGCTCTTAATGTCGCAAGATTTCTTGGGCATAACATGGTTTACAGTAGTCACAATCGAATGATTCGAACAATCATTATGCGAAGGAACAATGTATGGCGGAGGGTTGAACTCCAAATACAAATGTAGTAGGCTGTCATGGAATGTTTAGAGTATTTCATCAGCTTCCAAAGAGTAAAAAAGTATTGTAAAAAATGTAACATATGAGGACTAGCTCCTCTCAAAGTTTTATTAGCCTGGTTCAGCGAATGTTCAGCAAGATATTGCACCAAGATTTCTTTCTTATCTGTCCTTATAAAATCCACAGTGATCTATCTCGCACTGTATACAATAGCATATTGCCCCCATCCAACAGACGCTTCCTACCTTCACCGCGAAAGAGTTCCGCTAAGTTAAGTTATCGCAATGTCAAGTATTGTCGGCACTTTTTTACAATTCAATTTCGACAAAGGATCTTAGGAACACAAAATGTGAACTTGCATGTCTTTATATATTTTAATACCATGTAGTATTGACAGATTTTTGAAACATTAGGAAATGTGATTTTAAAATAGTCTCAAATAATGTTTAAATTCTAAAACTAGTATTAAAACCAAAGAGTTTGGTATCACGTTTTGTCTTAACCTCGACACATGTAATAACGCAAAATGTAAAAAGCCAAAAAAAGTGTCATCTTTTCTAAAAACAAATCATCTTATCAGCAAGTTACAGCGGGAGCTCCACAGGGGTCTATACCAGGACCTCTTCTGTTTCTATAATCACCTTTCATTACGTATTAAAAAAATCCAATATAGACTGCTGATGATGCCACTCTACATGCATCCAGCAAAGGTTCCCTATCTATTGTGAATGCATTATCAAAGGATATTGCTTGTATAGAAAAATGGTGTTCGCAGAATCAAATGGTTTTAAACGCTTCAAAAACTATAATGAATGTTAGTCGGTAAAAGATCATATTTTTCTGAGCTTAAATAATCTATCCACTAGACATTGTATCAAATGAAAAAAAAAAATCCTCGGAGTTTATTTTGGACAGTTCCTTACAATACAATACACATGTTTGCCATGTGTGTAAATCACTGTCACATAAAATTTCTGTCCTCTGTAGGATTAAAAACAAATCTTCCGATTTAAACACACAAGCTGTTTTCCAATACATATATTATACCTTCAATTGATTAATGTTAACAGTGCGGGGTAATACATCTCACAAATCTTGATAATTTAAAAACTGCAAACACGTGATGCGAGTATATTTTAGATGCTCCCCCTGATGCACCCTCAACCTATCTTTCAGAAACTAGATTGGCTCACAGTCTGTGAGCAACTTACTGTAAATAATTTTTTTTTGTATAAATCACTGTTTAAAGGTGCTTAGACACGGATTTGAAGTTAATTTTACTCAAATTTTCTGTATAATTTCATGACTTATATGTTGCTATAGCATTTCATACGAAAATTTGATAAAAATCTTAGTTTATCTGGAAGTTATTGAAACTTCGAATTTCTGGACGCGTTTGATAGACACATCCTTGCACTTTCACAAATTTTAACCTCATTCTTATTACTTAGGAAAAGTAGCAATTTTGTTTTTTATTAATGAAAAATATTAAAACTATAATGCAGAAATTTCAGAGAAGAAATGTAGAAAGCAAAATCCTCTCACCAGTATTGTCAGTCCGTGCTCAGTGGTGTGTGCAGAGTTTAACAATTGAACACACCCGGTGAAACGAAAGCATTAACAACAACAGAGCTCGTGCCCTGTTTACAAAAACAGTTTACGTTTCACGGGTGTATTCAATTTGTTAAACTCTGTACACAACTACACAACACTGAGCACGGTCTGACAATACTTAAGTGAGTGGGTTTTGCTTAAGAACATTTTTACTCTGAATTTTCTGAATTATAAATTAATTTTATTCATTAATACACAACAAAATTGCTACTTTTCTTAAGTATTCAGGATAAAGTTAAAAATTGTGAAAATGCAAGGATGTGTTAATCAAACGCCTCCCGAAATCCGTAGTTTCAATAATTTCCAGATTAAATAAGTTTTTAATTTTATTTTGGTGTGAAATGCTATAGCAACAAATAAGTTGTGATATTATACAGAAAATTTGAGAAAATATAAACTTCAAATCTGTGTCTAAGCACCTTTAACTCTAGTCCTTTTTATATAAATAGTATGTTTAATTTCCAATGTAAATCCAAACAATCTTCGATATGAATCCAATTTAGACTTGTGTGTTCCAACTCATAACTATAAAACTTTTGAAATTTCCTTTCAATATTCTGGCGCTGTTTTATGAATTGATGTACCTGTATACACACAAATGTCCCTAACACATGCTTTCAAGCGACAAGTCCAAAAATATGGAAATCAAGGTCACATTAACTCATGATTATTATTTGTGTATATTTGCATATATATGTATGTACAGGATGTTTCAGAAAACATGCAACCATTTTGATTGATTACAATTTAATGGTGTTTTATCCAATACCATCTACCAACCTGCTATATTAAAAGGCACGACTTCAACATTCATTCAGATAAAAATGAATTTAATCTGACAAATAGATAAGGAGTTACAAAAAATACAGAAAATGTGTAAAATTTCACTTAGTTACAAAATATGTTCTAAGTGGCGTCATTTTTGCTGAATCAATAAATCTATCCAATGCAAGAAATTTCTCAATACTAGTGCACAGATTTCCCGCGTAATGAGCCTGGTCTCATTTTTTTTGAGCATTTTGAGTTCTCGTGTTGTTTGGGGGTGTGTTTTATAAAGTATTACCTTTAGAATGTCCCCTGAGATAAAAGTCAAGGGGGTTTTAGTCAGGTGAGTGTGCAGGTGTGGAGGCCAAATGTTCTTGGATTTGAAAGACATGAGTCGTCATCAAAACATTTGTTCTAACCAGTCCAAGCTGTAAGATTCAAATCATATTTCAGCATCCAATATACACTTGACTTGCTTACTTTTAAGACACATTCGTCTAATTATTTTCGCTCAATTATTTTTACTTAATTTCATGGGAGTCTCTGAGAGGTCTCTAACATTCTCAATATCTTCATGTGTTATAATTGTCTTCTTCCAATTTTTAATCAACAACTTTCCACATGTTCCATTAGCTTCAAACCACAGTACATGTATCTTCGAACGTCTGCTCAAAATGCTATATCTTAATTATGTTGGTATAAATATCAATATAATTGGTACACAGAATACAATTAAAAATGCATTTCAGTTTTCCGATAGTAATACATTTTTATATAAAATAAAATGTAGTAATTTTGCCTGTGGGCGACGAACTCTAGAGGATGTAATCCCTCACATGGCGAGCAAGAATTTTAACAACTTTTCGGCCTGATCATTCTTTAATTCTACAATTACATGCACTTTCATTTTCACTGTTTCCTCCTACAAAATGTTTTCTAGACTCTGAATCGCCTTAACGTTATGACTGTGAAATGAAGGAAAGCAAAATTTCATGCAATTTCATTCATTTATGGTGTCAAAATCTTCAGAAAAATGAAAGACCGTGAACAGCAAAGTATAATTCTCAGAGATTAAGATTAAAAAAAAATCATTTTTTTTTTTTTACAAAGTGGAGAAAAAATAGTTGGCCCCTAAAAATATATGTGCCTAGTAAAACTTGAAAAAAAAAAGGGGGGGCCACATGGCCCCTAAGGTTTTAAATGTTATTTCCAACTCTGCAATAGCATTGTAAAACAAAGTTGAAAGCAATGAAGTATGTGAAGGAGGATAGATTGATTATATGCTGTTTTACGTCCCATTTGAGAATTTTTCACTCATGTAGAGGCTTCAAATTTAGAACCCTTACTCGGCACTTAGGGCCATTGAGAAATGAGGGTTCTTTATCGTGCCAATGCCTACCGTGACACGGGGTCCCGAATTTTAAGGTCTCATTCGAACTTTCAACTTTCACTTCAAAGTACCGAGTGCTTGGCGAAGGAACAGTTACTACCAATTTTTCATCGACTTAGGTCGGTCGCGGCCGTGATTCGAACACACGACCTTCCGATCACGGAGCGAGCGCTCTACCGACTGAGGTACCGTGACAGTTTGTGAAGGAGGATCAGATGTGTGTATGTGGGGGGGGGGGGGACTCATTGTAACTCGAGATATTAATATGGTATTGATAGTACTGTACTTTCAGTTATTATATACAAAAAAGAACCAATTGCTAGTACGGCGAAATCTTGTAGAAACTTAATTTTTCATTTTGTACTGCAGATTTCATCATAAGATGGATAGAGATGATTTACATGTTCACCTCTCGAACAAAACAGGGACATCCATATATAGTAGTGTTCGGCAAGCACTGTAATCAACAGAAAGAGGTACTTCACTAAGTTACCTTTGGTTATTTTTTTCTTTATGTATTATTAAGGTGCGTAAGATACAATCAAGGTAAAAAAAATGCAATTAAAAAGAATTTATATTAGTATTATTTCTTTAGTTATTCTCTGTACTTAAATTGTTATAAAGCAAAACAATGGAAAGATCACACTATTGCAAGCTTATCCTTTTAATTAAAAGTAATTAAAATATAGCTTTCGATCGCGTTGAAAAAAGAACGTGCATTTTTAAAATTTTGTACAAAATCTGAGTAATCATCCATGAGAAAATTTGTTTTTATCATACATGTAACACATTGTCAAAGACATGGGCGAACAAGGCGTGCAAAATGCCTATAGCTTCAGATGTATAAAAATCATATTCAAATTGTGAATTCAGAATAAGAATAAAGTTCTTATTAATGAAGTTTATGAAATTATGACAAACAAAACTTTTCTGAAGAAAATATTCACGGCAAAATTATCCTTTCATTAAAAAAAATAATGTGGTATTCTTGGGGTTCGAACACAAGCAAGAAAAATTCTGCGTATCATTTTCCTTTGACACTAGCACGCTTACCACTTTATTACACAACTCCTGATGAATATTGGCATTTAAATCTTATTTTTGATATGACCCTTGACTAAATAGACTTAAGTATTTCTCGGAAAGTTAGGAATGTTGTGTCATAAAAGTGTATTTTTAAGGTAAAGTGGGTCTTTGCTCCATGTTTTTATTAACCAAACAGAACTCCATATTTCATGAACCAAAAAATGTATATCTTTCAAAAAATGGAGAGCAGACCCACTCGTGTTGAAAAATTGTTATAAGAAAAATGATCGTTTTTGTCCTCCTCATTGTGTATCCTATTTCATAGACGAATTATTTCAATCTTTTGCAGATTGTGGAGATTTTACATAAAGAATACTTTAATGTTAGATGAAATATCAAAGAAAATTTTGTTACGATTGAGATTTGATTTTTTAACTTCATATTTGTCGCATCAAAGGCATTTCCCTCGCCTTGTTCACCCATATTATTCCCTATGTAGACAAGAATTACGAAAGACTGTTCTGAGATACAATGAAAGCAATCGTCCAAATATCCAGTCAAGCATAATCTAAGCTGAGATTATTATGTTTGTGCATTAATGCATTTAAATAATGAAATTTAGATTTTATTTAATAGACTATGCATCAGTCTCGATCTGACATTATGATTCGGCAGTTAGACAAATATTTTTCGGGGACTCCTGTTCGTAACTGGTTGATCTTAGATTCTCTCCTTCGGGGGGATGTTGGGGATGAGCGGGACACAGGGCTAGAACGTCTTCGACAAACCATCATGGACATCTCAAGTGAGTTTTAGAACAAATAATAAAATAGCTTGACACTATATAAAATGGTGCGCAAAATATACTGACCTTCTCAATTTTAATTCAACTCATATTGTAAATAGTCTACTTCCTTTAAATTTTGTGTTCTAGACAAATATCGAACAGCAGAATTGTTTCCTCGACACTGGATTACATTTTATGACCGATTAATGTCAAAGAAAAGGGAAGGTCACAAGGTATTTTGTTTGCTGTTATAGATCCTTTTCGCAAACTACGCTCCCAAAAACCCTTGGCAGATTACATAACTAAAATGATGGCCCATATTTCATTGTATCAAACCTTTACCCTTTGTACTTATGAAACAACTGAAATGTTACACACTATGAACAATTGTATTGATACAATTTGCCACATCTATCTATCTTTCTATCTTTCTATCAATCTATCCATCCATAATCGAATGAAATTTTGAAGCAAAAATAAAAAAAAGTCATGTCAAACCTCGTATATATATATATATATATATATATATATATATATATATATATATATATATATATATATATATATATATATATACTCTATTTGTCCGAAACTATTCTGCGGTTTATGTACCTTTCCTTACTCCATCTCTGGTTTTCGTATGTATGTACTAATGACTGATACGTTTGGCACAAAACCCTGTATGTTCTTAATGATTGTTCAAAATATCAAGCGTTTTCAATTATTCCTTACTCATAAAATGCATTGAACCTTTAAGAACAATACTATACAATTAATCTATCAAATACTTGACCGTAGTCTCATAAAGTGAAGACACCTAAAAGGGTACGCCTCTGGACTTCATTCAAGAAAAGTCTACATTTTGAGTCCCACATAGACAAATCGAGCGACACATAAGCTGCTAGATGAGGAGTTAAAATTCAGTACACTCAGAGTTTGTTAAAATTTTAGTGCCAAGGGTTTCTAGGGGCGTATAACGTTATAAAAAATACCTTGGCTTAAACTTTGTTATAGATCTGCTTCGCTAGAATTATATATATTTTATGCGTTAATTAATGATGATTTACTTTAGGTAATTTCGTCAAATCTTCTTCGGAAATTCAACACGGAACACAGCGAACCCTTAGGAGCTCTTGAACTGGAGGTGTTCCTGAAATACCACCTGACTGTGGGAAGTCTCCTTGACTTCCCACACAATGATCATCAGGATTACGTGTTTTTGGATCCTAGTGTTCTTTCTGAGGAAGTACGTGTGATTGAAAGTATAGCACAGAACAACAAACGATCGAAACCAGCTTCCTTCAAGCATGTCGTAATTCCGAACACTGTGTTAGCACAATACCTTGCTTCAGACAGAGTCAATGGGAAGGGACAGATTATAATCAGGTAAACAAAGTCGTTGATTTCCTGCAAATCACTGTACCTCCAAGGTAATTATTGATAATCTACTTTACATACTAATTGATATAATTGTTACCAGTCATGAGGTTTTAGGTCCAAATGAGGAATTTTTTAAAAATGACATTTTTACTTAATATTGTAGCTTAGATGTCCAAAATTACTAAGACGAAGTTTTACCCTCATATGCACACTATTTTTTTTAGAGATATGACATCACAATTGGATTATTCGGACAATCGACAATCGGATTAATAAAGGCCATTTGTTGTTTTCATGCAATGCAATACATCACTATTTTGTGATACAGCTTCTTCAGAAGTTATGATTTGGGTAATTTCATAATTAATTATACACTAGACAGATTGTTTTTTTTTTTTGTTAAACATACATAGAATAGATCTAGAGAGGGTGGGTGGTAGTGGGGGTGCCTTCCAACCCCCCACAACCAACACCCAACAACAAAGAGAAACATTTTTTCTCTAAATATTTGGACAAATTTTTCTTCCCTCTAACTTTATTGACTCATCGGATAAATTTACTCCTTACACTCGTCGTTGTTAAAAGGGAATTGTACTGGCACTACACAATAATATTTTGGTTCATTCTGTCAATTTACGGAGGAAATTGAACAGAAGCTTGTTTACTTTGACAACGAAGTAACTTTTTAATAAGGGAGATAACATCATAGTGGGGTGTTGCTAAAATGTTTCACCCTCCTTCCCCTCCCTCCAAAAACAACGGACCCCTCTTAAATTTGGTAAAAAGAGAATTTTTTAAAAAAAAAATGTCCTAGGAAAGTATATTTCGAACAGGAAATTATTTTTTTTACTTTTAAAGATTGAAATTACTATGTGGTTTGCACGAGATATGATCTCTTTCGCACGACATTTTTTCCTTTTTTTTACTTAAATCTGTGCAGCGAATTTTATTACTAAACAGCACTGTACATTTCTTAAATATGAAATTTAATGGCTGAAATGATTTGTAAATCATGACAAATTAAACTTTAGTAAATAATATCATTAGTTTTATAGTCTTCAGTGAAAGCCCTAGCTTAGGAGAATATACACATGGGAGGGGGGTTGTAGAAATCAAACAACGTTAAGTTTAATCAAGAGTGAGAAATCAACCTACTCGAGTATAGTTTGAGGCTATCGATGTTAAACATGACATTTGCTTTCCACTCCTTGTTTGCCATATGTGTAACGGGACAGGAGAAAAATGCGACGAATCAGGCCGGATTCGAATCCAGGCCCTCTGAATCTCAAGGCAGGTCCTCTACCAACTGAGCTATCTGGCTACCGGGGATCGAACACGTCTGACTGCCACATTTACCTTCAGACATTACAATTCTAGCAGATCAATCAAATTAAAAAAAAATGGGTCCAGACAGATGATATAAGATCCATAGTAGATTGTATCGTATTAAACATTGGGATTTCTGTTAAATATAATACTTGTATTTCTAAACAGTAAGTATAAATAGAAATTTTAATTTTCGAAAAGCTAAAAAAAATGTCCTAGAAAAAAAAACATGGGAGGTAAACCCAAGGCTAATCTCCATTCTTTTCGTTCCGCCAATGCATTGGTTACCATGCTGTCTAATCCTGTTTTGTTCCCTTCCAAAATATGAGATACAGAATATTATATATTTATTTTTGAGTGACAGCCCCACCCCACCCCCACTCCCGTTTGAATATACAACCTAGATCCAAGGATAATGAAATAATTTATTCTACATTTTTTTTTGGATTTTTTTATATTAAATTCCTTGTATCCGTGTGCTAGAAAAATAATTCTTGAAAGCAGAAAAATAAAAATATCCTTGACCTGTCTTGTTCAACGACAAGGTACATAATCAGTTTTGAAATTGGGGCAGCCAGAATAAAAAAAAAATCTAAACTGAAAAAGTTTAGAAGGAAAGTAGGTAGGTTAGTTCCGAATTAATTTCACGACCAAATCTTTTAATACAATGATAATTTACTATGATTTAACTAAACAACATGAAAAAGAGAGTACCAGTCTTTCGATGAACATTTTCAACAGGAAAATGTTAGTGGGGGTATGCCACCCTTCCCCTCCCCTGATACTACATATTTTTTGTGCGAACAAAATTAATAAATAATGCGAATGCGATAATGATCTCCAGCGAACGTGAAAATTATATGGGAATGAGATAATTATATTGCACGAATGAAATAACTATCTCGTGCAAACGAGATAAAAATTCGTGCAAATGACATAGGTTGTATGAACGAGATTATTAGTTTGCGATCATGCGAACGGCATTATATTTTGTGCGAACGACATAATATTTTCCAACATAATAAGAAACAAAAATATTTGCATGACCTTAATATACCAACGTTAATTATACCACCGTATATTTCCAATGATTTTAACACAGGCTTTTTTGCATTGGATATACTGTAAATAGACTTCGAATATATTTTGTAAATATTTAAGTATGATCCTGAACAACGACAATTTGTAGCCCAAAGCTACCCTGAACCAGAAAAATAGAATGTTGTTTTTCACTCCCCCCCCCCTCCCCCCCAAGATTTTCCCATGCATGGATGAAATATATGGAGATAACGAACAGTATTCATGCTCAAAAGTCCATTAAACATTACAAAATAGGTGCAGAGCAAACACGGACCTCCAAAACATCAGAGCTGGGATCAGGTGCCATGGAGTAGTGAGCATCCCCTGCCGACCGGTCACACCCGCCGTGTGCTCCTTGTCATGATCGGGAAATAACGGAAAAATCCGTCGACAATTCAGTGTGTAAATAATGGCCTAACAATTAGTATGAAAAACGTCAGTCAGCATTTGACTCAATGATAAATTGTATTTGCTGACAAGGTCATTGTATCGACCATAGAACTTACGAAATGATGACTTTAAACGAGACTGCTGATATTCTTGTTTCATCAACTTGTTTGTCAATAATTTACCTCGTTTTAGAAATTGTACATGCATGCTCTTGCTTATCGAATCAACTGAGAGATATAAACCCCGTATGCAGGTGATGAAGGTATATTGCTGCATAAGTAAGGGAAGTTGACGATTGAAAAGTTAAAGCCATCACGTTTATCATAAAGCTTGGTTGTTAGATTACCATTTACGTCTTTTTCAAGTAAAATATCCAAATATGAAACAGATGTGTCAAACTCTTTAGTATCTTTTATCTCAAGTTCACCGGGATATATCGTATCGACATAAGAATGGAAATAATCATTTTTAATTGACAATACGTCGTCGATATATCTAAATGTTGAGTTGAAGGCTACAGCAAGTGTTTTCTTCTTTTCACGTATAAGATTTTGGACAAATTCTGCTTCATATGAATACAAAAAATGGTCTGCTAATAACGGGGCGCAATTGGTACTCATGGGAATTCCAATAGATTGTTGGAAGACCTGGTCTCCAAAAACCACAAAGATATTGTCAATCAGAAACTCAAGCATCTTTTAATGTCAACCTCAGAGTACTTGTGTGTACAATCAGAATGTTTTTTAACAAAATAATTTTCCAAATGACCAATGACAAGGTAAGTAAATTTACGAGTTCCGTTTTTTATTGAAAAAGCAGCTATCAATGATATCAAAAAGCCTGGATTTTAATTTATCGTGGGGAATGGTTGTGTATAAAGTTGAAAAGTCGTAAGTTTTTAAGCTGTTGATTTTGGTAAAATCTTGTGAATTCAAATTTTCCAAAAGTTCCTTGGAATTTTTAAGTATCCACACCTGATTTACACCACTTCTCGAATATTTTGTTGCACAGTACTCTTGAAGTTTCCCCTTCACTACTGTTAATATCTTAGTGAGGGGTTAAGAAAGAGGCTTGGTTGAACATTTACTGGAACCCGCTATGTATCTTTGATTGTAAGGATTTTTATGAAGTTTCGGAATCCAATATACTAGATATGGTAATTCGAATTCTTTTTGGTTGCTTGGAATATTAAGAATATTCAAAACTGACGTATGATTTTGAAGAATTTCTTCCTTAGAAAGAGAACTATGAGTATAAGTTGGATTACCACTTGTAGAATTAAATCCAAGTTCCTCTAAAATACATCTAATATAATGAGCCTTACAAACAAAGACAATGTTGTTACTTGGATACACAATTTTTTTCCCCAGAAAAGTGGGGGTGGTTGAAGGGGCTTCCACATCAACTCAATTAAATGTCGGAATCTTTAGACATTTAAAAATATAAAACGCGCAAACCAAACAAAAAAAAATTCTCAAACCATAAAGTTCAAATCTGAGAAACCTATGTCGTAAAAAGAAGGGATGCCAACGATTTTCCTTCAGGTTTCTTCAGATAAAAGACTCTTCTTAACATATATAAGAAGGGTTCGTTGTATGACCTGGAGGGAGTGTTTCTAAGGTTATTTTTTCCGTTACTCTGCATCGAAATTTATTAACTCCGAAAAACCAAGACCAATATCTTATTTTCGTGTCATTTATTTTCCACATTCTTTTAAAATTTTGTATATCTCTTTTGAAAACAAATATTTCAAACTTTCCTGGTGTGTTTACTCTTGAAAAAAAACAATGCATTTATTTATTAGAATCGTTTTAATTGATATAGAAACAAGTGTTTCCCGACTTAATTGCTGACGTGAGCATGTTCTCGGCAAGGAAGATATAACTCTTTTATTAGGATTGATTGATTGATTATTATTGTTTAACTACGAGTCGGCAATATTTCAGAAAAAGTACATGTATTTAAATTTTCACGTTTTTGGACAAAGACGCTGAACTGTACATCTTAAAAAATGTTAAAAAGATCGGAGAGCTTTGACAGTCATCATCCATTAAGGACAATGATTGATTGTTTATTATACTTCTTTTGTACCCCCCCCCCCCCTTAAGAAAGAAAGCAAAACAAAAATTTTATAACGTAAGATTTCTTTTTTAGTGCAAAATCTTTTAATTAGATATTGTCAGGGACCTATATACTAACTGTGTAACTCAACTGTTTATGCATACATGAAATGTCGCCGAAACCAACGAATTTTTCGATTGCTTAAAAAGGCAAACTCCCTTATTGCTCATTGTAAATTTGTAGATCATGCTGCTACGAAAGAATTAACTTATTTGTTTTTTAAATATATTTAAAAATTCATTTTTATATTTTCTTTCGGTTTTCTGTTCCGTTTTCCGTTCCGCGTTTTAGCAACACGCCATCGTAGTGTAGTTTCACTTTCGATTCTTTTACCAAAGAAGAACCTAAGTCATGATCTCTCACAAAATTCCTTGTCAAATAAAATATATGATAGTTTAAATATTAAATAAATAAAGATTTAGAATTTTTCTCCTTTATTATGTTCACGGGAAAGCCCATTATGTTTGACAGTTTTATTATTATTTTTTTACCGATGATGAAGTAAAAAATGAGGGAAAACCGAGAAAAAAAAACGTGCGTTGATTATGACGTCAATTCTCTGTTTTACCAATGCCGCATTTGGGCCAAAAGTCTCACGACGCGTCACATATGTCGACAGTTTCTCCAAGCTTATAAACTATGTTTTGGTTTGATTTTGTGGCTAGGGTCTTGCTTGAGTTGGGAATTTTGGCGAAGCCTGTAATGTACGACTACCATGGAAATTTAACCGACCCGGAATACCTAGTTTTAATGGATTCTCTCCAAAATATGAACACTTCACCACTTCGAGGTAACCAGGGTATATTAATTAAATTGTTACTTATGGAATATGTTTTGAGCTTTGTAGTGTGAATGTGATCCCTAATACATTGAGTTACTCTGCTACTTTTGAAGACATATTCAGTCAATATTGAAGACACTGAATTCAAAATTTTCACGAGAGGTCCATGGACCTTAACAGTGACTTGAGTTTTTCAGGCCATGATCATGATACGATCTTGGTTAGGTACTCTGCATTCATGAAACATAGATTTTGCAATTCGGAAATGGAATCGTTGTTAAAGAATTGTATGAAGCCTGCCTCAAGGATAAGGAAAAGTCGGATGATTTTTAGATATTTAGTGTATTTTCAGTATAAGATCAACTCTGCCTCTTAGCCCTGGATTCATAAGTTTTCATAAAAGCAATAGATTAAATGATTAGTGTTAACTTGCATACTTGTTTCTAAATTTTCTCATGTAAAGAAAATTTTCTGACAAGTATAGAAGTTTAATTGACCAACTCAGCCCAAGTCTGCGTTGAATTCTTGTACGTAATGTATGACCAACTTACTCCTATCCTGGAGCTGAACCAAAGACTGAAGTGACATGAATTTCACTATTTTTGTAGAAAGCTAACCATGCAAACAGTTTTCTTGCTTGATGTGCAGGAGTACAGGATTGCATTTAGAGTTTCGGCCAAATCCTCAGGCCTCGGATGGGAAGGGGGGTGGGGGTGGGGTTCTTAATAATTTCACAACTTCATAATTTTCGTTTCCCGAAATGAAGTGAAATTGTTCAGCTATCTCAAAAGTTTACGACTAACGAACTTTGGAAGACAACAGGAAAAAATTAATAAAATACATGTAATTCAGAAAATTTTTGTGCCCTGATTAAGGACAAAAGTTTACCTAAGATATCCTGAAAAACCTTGTAACAAAATGCAATAGCAAGCTTGTTACCTGGACATTTTACCTCAAAATAAGAAAAAAGAAATAATTTAGAGTTACGCAATATTGTCCAGTATTGATCTGGACACCGTTTCCTACCATGTATGAACGTGACCTTGACCATTCACTGTATCCTCAAAATCTATAAAGAGGAGACCTTGTAAGTTTTTGTTCCAAAACGCTCAAAGAGAAGTAAAGTTATCATCTGGAAACCATTTTATTCAGTATATAAATTTCTTATCTCCAAATTGGTCATTGTTGCTTTTCGTTGTTTTGGGCTTTCTCATACATCATGGCGACAATGACGCATACGTGTAAAAGAAAGCCCATCAACAGAGGGCTGTTCAACAGAGCGAACGTTCGCGAGCGCTCGCCAAAATTCCTTATCTTTCCAACAGGAATGTTCGCGAGCGCTCGCGAACGTTCGCTCTGTTGAACAGGCCTCTGGTCGCCTATCAGCTGCTATATTAGGAAAAACTATGCATTAAAAACGTAAAATGTGATGTGTTTTTGCTTTAACGAGCCGGATAAATAAATTCATCTACGTAGCTGTATCTATAATTTATGCATCAAGGGTATCTAACGCCCTTCTTGATGTAGAGAATAATCGCAGATTTCTGCAACACCCTCAAATTTTCATCAATTTCAAAGGATATTTTGTTTCTGAAAAACACAGAGCGCACGCTTAACTATTTACCAAATCTATGCATTTGATGCACCGGATGCATCTTTTGCATGAAAATCAGTTAGGCAAGCTTGTGCTCTATGTTTACCGAAATGTTTGTTTGTTTGTTGTTTAACGTCTCTCTCGAGATTTTTTCACTAATATGGAGACGACACCATTTGCTGGTGGAGGGATGCAAATTTTGACCTATACTAGGCACTTAGGGCCATAGAGCAGTGAGGGATCTTTTTCATGCCAGCATCTACTGCGACATGGGTCCTCGGTTTATACGGTCTCATCCGAAGGACCGGTCTCCATGTCCCGAGACGTAAGGATCAACCCCTTACACCGCGGCTCTTATAGCAGATGCTTTACCCACTGTGCTACGCGGGCAACTATTTCAAATTTGACGAAATTCTACCAGAAATGAGAAAATTCGATAGAATTCCCTACTTTGCCACCTTCTTGTGGCCTCTATGTCAAAGCTAGTGTTGGTTTTAAAACAAGCATCATTTAAAATTCTTCACTACAAACTCACAATTGTACGTGTATCTGGTTTTTTTAAAATCATTTAATATATTAAAATTTTTAGATCAAATAAAGGGCCAAATTACGTTGCTACCTTTTCCTTTCTATGGAAAAGCTAAAAAAGAACTAAAGTTATTATCTGTAAATAATCGTCTGCAATATATTAACTTGTGACCTTCACCCTTGATCTTTTGATTTCAAAAATTAACAGCGATCTTCTTTAAGTCAAAGGGATTTATTATATAGACTGAATTTCTGTACAAAAACTGTAGGACTGTAAGAGATATCACCCAGAAACTATTGTTACACACAAATGACGGACAGAAAAGGAACAGACAGACTCACATACTTGTTTTAGCTAAAGCAGAGGACAAATGTTTTTGTTTTTGTTTTTTGAATTACTGAAGGATCTTTTATTTAGTTTGAATACAACTGAAATTTGAATCTATGCGCTTCAATGAAAATTTAATTAATGATTTGCATTAAAATGTTTTAACAAATAGAAAAGCTTTTTGCCGAGAAGAAATGCATAACAATGAGATTCCGAATGAAGGGTTGTCTACCTATGGCTGTGTTCCAACGCCTCCTATCGTCAGCAGTCTCACTTTGGTCAGTTGTTCATTACTCTGCCAAATATCTGATGATGGCTAACATTGCAGCTTTCTCATTAGACCATTACCATCGACTCATTTTGGCTACTCATGGTAATACAGTCGACGTCTACATCTATCACAAGACTGCCAGCATAAATATAAACCCAAGTGTCACTCAAAATGTACGGCATTTTCTAGAACTAAATCTGAGACGCATTTTGTGTGTGACTTCTTCAGTAAGACAGAAAACACAATTTGTTCAAAGCACAGAAGATGGGATCGTACATATAACTACAAAAAATAAGGTGGGTTCTCTTAGTAAATGCAGAATTTTTCAGCATCTAGAGTTTGTGTACAGTTTGTTGAGGGTTTATTCTTTAATTTCAGGACAAAAATGAGATCCAAGTAAATGAAGGAATCTATATAGCTGAGTTAGCAACATGTAACAGTTTTACATCCTGCTTTGCAACAGTTGATGAACTACAGGACAAAGAGGAGTGGAAATGTGAAAGACATGCTGTTGGTGGAGAATCACGTGACCTTCTTGGAGTCTGGTATTCCACCGAGGTATTGTATAGCATTTAGAATGATTACTTATTTTGTCTGTAAAGGACTCTCATAGAAATTTTGAGTCAAAATCAAGATGCTGCTATTTGCAATGATTAGGGCTTTTTAAGATGAGGCAGAAAACAGTACACATGATGCTTTTTTGAATGGTGGTTTGCACTAGATGTCAGATTTTTGATCTAGAGTATGATTAGATCTACTTGTAATTATTTTGAGTTTCATTGGTATTCGGATAAACTATAGGTCTTCTGATAAATATGGAATGCATTTCAAATATATGTTCTTGACCGATAAACACCAGCCTACGACTCATGAATTTAACAATTTTTGATAGAGGACATAATTATTGCTTTTAATTATAATAAAATATTATTGGTCATTTTCAAACATCCAAGGCAAAATTTTATTGTTAAAATGGCATTCCATTGTAAATCTTAGCTTTACCTCAGTGTTAATTATTGATGGTTCATCAGAGTTTAAGTTAAGGAGGTTGGATCCTGCCATCAAAAGTAATGAGAATTTTTTATCAAGTATATTTTTAGAATTTATACACATAGTTTAATTAAAAATCAAAACAAAAGATGGGGGTCAATGCACTTCTTTTGGCGCTACAGAGCATTTAGTTTGACTTTTTGCACTGTAAATACGTCTTACACATAAATAAATTTTTAAAGTTTTTCCTCTAATATTTTTTTATTCAAATAAATTATGGTAACAAACACATTTATATTTCATCTTGAATAGACACATTAAAATTTGTGACAACGAAATTTTTTTCAAATTACTCAACATGTTCAATTATTTGACCTTTTTGCACTCAAAAAATTTCATTTTTCTGGCATTAAAAATTTAACAAGCAAAAAAATCATTTGAAAGTAATTACATTTTACTGAATTTAAAAAGAATGGTTAAAAGTATTTTATATATTCAGAAAAGAAAATAAAAAGTGGGGTTCTGTGATGTTAATTGTTAGATATTATTAAAATAGTGCTAATTTTAAGCTTAAAATGGGGACATTTTTTTTCTTGATTTTCACAATATATTTGCTATATTTATCAAATATAATGATAGAATTCATGACAGTTTATTTGATATATAATTTAGGACCAGTATAAAACAGTTCACTACACAAAATAACTCTGTGTGCAGACTGCATGTAAAAATAGGAATCCAAACTTAACATACTTTAAATACTTCGAAAGAGAAAAAAATGATCATTTTCTTCTAAAAAACCTTCCGCCACAAAATATAGTTCCTCACTTAATGCTTTTGGTATGGAATTTTATCATGAAGTTTTAACTGAATATAGTTGAATTGGCATTGTAGAATTCAAATTTATTGTAAGAATTAAAATTTTATGCAGAATTTTTGAAATATAGGTTAAGATATAAATCTGTTCAAACGCTCAGGAGCGAACCTCGTTAATAGTGGATCACCTGAATGTTAATCATTGGTAGATCACCTGTGTTATTTATTGGTAGATTACCTGAGTGTTAGTTATTAATGGATTATTTGAGTGTTAGTTATTGGTAGATCATTTGAGTGTTACTTGTTGGTAGATCATTTGGGTGTTAATTATTGGAGGATCACCTTAGTGGGTTACTTACTGGTGGATTATATGAGTGTAGGTAATCGGTGGATCACCTAAGTAATGGTGGAATACCTGAGTGTTAGTTATAGGTGGATCACCTGAGTGTTAGTTATTGGTAAATGATCTTAGTATTAGTTATTGGTGGATCGCCTGTATGTAAGTAATTGGTAGATGATCTTAGTATTAGTTTTTGGTGGATCACGTGAGTGTTAGTTATTGATGGATCATTTTAGTTTAATTGATTGGTAGTTACCCAAATGTTAATTATTGGTCGTAAATTTTTTCAACAGGAGGCTTTCCAGGACCCTGTACATTCCTGTATATGTGAGACCGACTGTAAAGGTATGCACTACACCTATTGACAAGACAGATTCCAACTCAACTTTTCAATAGGGATCCACCTTATAAAGTTTCAAAGGAAGCTAACTTAAGATAACGATTTCTAAAGACAAACTTAAAATTGGGAAAACTCAATGAAGACAGCTGCACAGAATATGAGTTTAATACCTCAGCCTCATGCCCACTTGTTACATGAACGAATTTGTTCGTTTATTTTTAATGCATGTCAAGTGATTTATTTTATTAAAAACATTTAAGTTAAAGTAGATAGCAATTCTATCAAAATTTATAAAATTGTATTTACATTCATACTATACAAACTCCTATTTGTTTCAGTTCCACTTTCGCTTTCACGCTTGGGCATTTTAACAGAAATAAGACAAATATAGTATGTTAAATTTATTCATTGATAAGATTGAATCACGCATTGGATTTCACTTATAATTCAACCTTTATTAGCCTGTGCTAATCAACAGTTCAATCAGCTATTTCCTTAATCGACAAGGCAAACAGGTCAATATTGATTACGATGCGTGCGCATTCTTAGCAAGGAAGTTTAACTGATAGTTTAACTGAGCCTACATTTAAACATCAAAATAAAATAATACGACATTAAAGACATGGACTTTGGAAAAAGGGCAGGGCGCCCTAAAAAGGGCAGAGGGTGGCAGTAGGGAAAGGGCAGGCGGAAGCAATCAAGCTGGAACACTGCGTGTTAAAAAAAACTTTGTTGAAAAAATTATGTAGTCTTCGGAGACCGTGTCTTCCAACAAAGTGTTGGAATTTCGATGAGCACTAATTGTGCTTCTTAACTATCTGACCTGTTTTTATATTCCTTGAAGCAGAATTTATTTAAAAACTTCTACATGGGAAGAAGAAAACACTTGCTGTGGCATTCAATTCGACATTTAAATAATTATATCGACTTACCAATTAACAATTGTTAATTCTATTCATATGCCGACTCGATATATCCCAGTGAACATAAAATAAAAGACACCACAGAGTCTGTCACATATGTTTCATATTTGGATGTTTACTGACTATAGGCGATAAGAGCCAGCTAACACTTAAATCGTATGACATCGAGATGACCAACTTTTCCATCGTCAACCTTATTTATGTAGTTATATCCCACTATCACCTTCATATGGTATTTAAATCTCCCAACTTAATCTATACTTAGGGGCATGCTCTGAGTACGATCAATTTTAAAACCAAGGCAGGCTTCTGACAGATAAGTTGATGTTACAGGGATTTCAACAACCTCGTATAAAGTCAGCATTTCATAAATTTCATAAATTCTATGAACGTTATAATGACCTTGTTAGTAAATATAACCCATCACTGGGGGATAGTATTTTGGCTGACGTGTTTCTTTCCAATTGTTAGGCCTTTGTTTTTATACTGACTTTTTGACTACGGAATGTTCCTTCTACCTGATCAATACACAGGGTTCAAGGCGGGTGTGACAACGGATGCTTTCTCCTCCTAGGCACATGATCTCACCTCTGGAATTTTCTAGGGTTCGTGTTTTATGCCCTTTTCTCAGATTCGCATTGTCCATAGATTATTTTTAGATCGATCACTGTTCGTTATCTTTACCTATTTCATTATGTTGATGCCTCTGAAGCCCATCACTTGAGATACGTCAGGTCAACTGCAATTGTGTTATTTAAAATAAAACGCAACACTCATAGAAAAGTGTGAAGAGGAGATATCTGTTTTTCAATTTAACCTAATCCATTATTTCCTTCAATTTATTCTATTCATACAGTATAATTTTACAGTACACATTCATTCAAATTTGTGACATTTTTGATAATATTTCCAGGTTAAAAATAATCATATTGTTCTCAAACTCACCGTTCATTTCACCAATAAGATGAAATACTGCTATATGACAATGCTAATTTAGGGCTGAAGGAGTATCTGTTGTCAAAAACCCCATCAGAACAACTTATAGGACGACTGGCGAGGCGACTCGATCCAAAGGGTATTCTTTCCATCTCACAAAGACTAGGTTTGAGCCAAGTAGAGGTACGGCGTGTCCGAGACCGGACTGTTGGAGCGTCGTTGTGGCGAAGGTCATTTAACACTCTCAGGGCCGCAATACTAGACCAGTCGTTGACCCTTGGTCAGCTACAGGCGGCAATTATCGCGGAAGGAGTTGGGGAACACATACTTTGTCAGGTAGATTATATGTTACAGTAAATATGTGAAATCAGGAATTCCATGTATTTCCTTAACCATCCAGTAAAAACATGTATTTACTGGTCGTTTTAGGAAATACATGTAACTACTGAACAGACTAGGAAATTCATGTATTTACTGAAAATTTTAGCCAATTTTACACATTTTTACTGAACTAAGCTGGATGACTATACATATGCTTTAAAACATTCAAGAAGTATACAAATACAAGTATCCATCCTTTTTAAGCAGCGATTAATAAGAATTGTTAGAAAACTGACGTTATACATTAATTTTCAATTCTAGGCAAGACTCGGTGCATTATATTTCTGAAATTCCATTTAAGGAAGAAAGCCTTCACGTATTTCCATCCTCCTTGGATGGCACAAGTTTTTATAGAACCTTTTTATAATTTAAATTCATACCCAATAGAAAAATATCTTTTAAAAGAATGTTTCCAGGTGTGTTGAAAAATATTGTAAAGTAAAAGAATATTAAAAATATATATTTTCTTCTTAATCAATTAATCTTTAAAAAAAAATATTGCTAAGGGCAATAACTCCTTCTCATGTATCTTCATTCAGGCATTTTCTTTGTAAAATGGATTCCCTGATATTCACAATTCAATTATATTTATAAAGAAGCAATTATTTTGGAGTTTTCAACACCAGAATGATGGATTTGAGCCAGTTTTTACCATTTTTTTTATTAGAAAATTTAAATTATTTAAAATGTTCGATTTTTTAATTGCGACATATACGGTACTTCTGTTTATTTAAGTCTTAGATTTTAAAAAAATGTTACCGTAACATATACATGTATAAGTTTTGCAATTTTGTTTAATTTAAACTATAATAATTGAAAATAAATGCAGTTTTTCTACTTTGAACCATTTAAATTGTGAGGATGGAAAATGCCTTAAAGTAAAGTTTCATCATTGAAATAATAACTTTAGTTTCTTTGCATTGTACGTATTTTATAAATTTTTTTTCAAGAGACAAGATAAGAATCGTTTTATTTGCAAATCAGAAGCTTCAAGGTTTAAAATTTACCGTCAATAAATGCAAAGTAGCATTATATAAATATCTAGTATAATAAGAAATGTCTGTAAGCAATTTTAGTTTTTTAAATTAAGAAAAGTATATAAAACAACTTAGTTAAAGTATGTTGTGAAATGAACTCCAGAAAAATGAAAGCATTGTATAATTATGTTTATTTTTGTTAATATTCACAAATAATGAATCTTTTATCTTATAAATAAATAAAGGTTTATTTCAAATATTTATTTACATGACATGCTATCCGATATAAGCATCGAATATACTGTGCATCTGTTCATATTTTATGATTCATATTTTAAATTATCTCGCCAAAACACAGTCAGTAAATACGTGTAAAAAATACGTGTAAAAGGTATTGAAAAATTCAGTAAATACCTATATTTCCTACCTGAAAACAGTAAATACATGTATTTCCTAAGCAGAACAAGAATTTCATGTATTTCCTGAAATTCAGGAAATACATGAAATTCCTGATTACACATATTCACTGTTACATATACACTGTAGCCTTTACCATACCTGCGTTGTATGAACTAGGGAAATTTTGCCTTGTGTTGATTTTTTACTCAATAAATCTAACAATCTCTCTGAAGCAGACACACAAATTCTTTGCAAGTGTATATAAAAGAAAATTACATTTCAATTTTTTTTCCAACATAGATATAGTAATTGTAAAATTGTGCAATTATTGTAAAATATGAAATGTCACATGATATTTATTTTTGCGGCGATAATGAAAAAAACTTGAGCATAGTTTCCCTTCTTGACTAAAGTTATGGCGATTCTGAAAATTCTTCTGGTATAATTGGAGAAGGGAAAAAAGCTTTGATGACCTCAACAACACCATCCATGTATGGAACATAGGGACAACATTTTCAAAAAAATACTTTCAAATATTAAATGAAAAGGATGACACAGCATTTTCGTAACGTGTTAAATACCCTTTTTTAAAAACATTTTTTTTGTAATAAATATTCATCAATTCTTTGTCTACCATCAAGCTCTTGTATAATTATGTATCTTGGCTTTGCATGTTAGGATTATTAAAATGCCAGTCTTTAATTTCTTGACATTTTTTGCATACCTCACCTTACATCCCTTTTTCCCTTACATCACGTTTAAATATGTTCAAACACCCCTCACTTTAAAGCAACACTCATTTACACGCACTAAAATTTTTGACGGAGCTGACTGGCATAATATAATTCAGGTAGGAGTAGTTGATGACTTACCGGTATGTCGCAAATACATTTTAGATCACCTGAGTAACCTATTGTATCTATTCTCTTTTTGAACATTTTCAGTTTTTAGCTCACCTGAGCTGAAAGCTCAAGTGAGCTTTTCTGATCACCCGTTGTCCGTCTGTCCGTCCGTCCGTCCGTCTGTAAACTTTTCACATTTTCAACTTCTTCTCAAGAACCACTAGGCCAATTTTAACCAAACTTTGTACAAAGTATCCTTGGGTGAAGGGGAGTGTAAATTGTTAAAAAAGAGGACCAAGTCCCCTTACAAGGGGAGATAATCAATAAAAGACAAAAATAGGGTGGGGTAATTAAAAAATCTTCTTCTCAAGAACCACTGGGCCAGAAAAGCTGAAACTTATATGGAAGCATCCTGGGGTAGTGTAGATTATAAATTGTTCAAATCATGACCCCCGGTGGTAGGGCGGGACACAATAGGGAATCAAAGTTTTACATTGAAATATGTAAGAAAAATCTTAAAAAATCTTTTTTTCAAGAACCACTGAACCAATAAAGCTGAAACTTATTTGGAAGCATCCTGAGTAGTGTAGATTCTAAATTGTTCAAATCATGACCCCTGGGGGTTGGGCGGGGCCACAATAGGTATATTAAAAGGGGGAAATCTGGTAAAGAACAGCATGGCCAAAGTTACTCAGGTGAGCGAGGTGGCCCCTGGGCCTCTTGTTTTGAAAAGGCTAGACCAATATCATTCAATAATGGTATTTAATATTTGTTTAATTAACAATAACTTTTTACCAAAATTGTTTAAACTCCTTGTCTACCAGGTCCAACGTTCAGGCCCAAAGTTGAATCGAAGCTCTGTTGAAAGGTTATTATTCAATGAACTGTTCAAAATTTTTCTATTAGGTCATCTGAGTCACTCAGGTATCGTTTTGCTATCTGTTGTCGTTCGTCGTGCGTCGGTAGTAAACTTTTGAACATTTTCAGCCTCGCTCATAAACCGCTGAACAATTTTTTTCATTCTCCATGGCACCTGATGCCATCTCTGATGTTTTAGGGGTCTATGTTTGCACTGCTCCTGATTCGTATTGTTTGGATGGACTTCTGAGCTTGAATACTGTAATACTGTTCGTTATCTCCGTATTTAAGATCATCTATGGGCAAAGGATGACAAAAAATGTGAATTTCATGGTCCTTGCCTCCCTGGGATCTGAAAGGTGGAGCCAAAACCATCAAAATTAATGCAATTTTCAAAAACCTTTTTTACTTACTCCAGGACATCAAGCTGTCACATTGTTAGCATGGTTATAACAAACAATGAGAACTTTACCAAAATTGAAAATTTCACTTCCTTATATCAGGGGTTCTTTTGTTAGGGAGGGCTCTATTGCTTATATAGTGAAAATGAATGGATTCTTTGGAAATCTTCCTCTTTGTTCTTGGATAATTAGCAGATAAATTAAGTACATACATGTAGTTATGATGAACAAGGGTGTCTCTTCCAAAATTGTGAAATTCCTGCGAAGAGGTTATAAAAAAGTGTAAACTGTTCCCACTTTACACCGTATAAAATGGGTAGCTAGTAATTTCAGTCCTTATAATTTAATTTTCATTCATTAAGTGTAAGAAAAAAGATGATTACCCTTCAAAAATGACTTCAAATTGTACAAAATTTAATTGTAAGGTCAGGCTGATCGATACGTTTTTGACGCGCATCATTGTGATGTAGGCAACCCAATTTATACCATAAAAAGTATTTTTTTTATCCAATAAAATACCGCGTTATAACTACAATTAAATTATTATCTTGTAAGGAAATATGTACTTATCTGAGATAATGATCACGTATGATAATTAATCACTGTAAATGATGCAATTGATAAAGTCATTTGAATAAAAGGATTATACAAGAATTTAATGAATTACAACAATATAAAAAGTACTTTCATTGTTTTAATGGTCAGATAGACTTGTAAATAATAGATAATAAAAATGAGACAAAAATATCTGATCTTTGTATATTAAATGTTCTTCAAACACCAAGGGAAAACGATGTGAAGAGAAACTATACGGTTGAACACTATTGTTTTGTTAGTCTGGTGATTAGTGACAAATGGAAGTGTATAGCTCTGTAGTATTTTGATTAGCTTATGAGTACTACACTAACTATTTTGTTGATTTGCGATCATCTCTTGTTTTTTTTTCCAACATATCTTTATTTTTATTTTGTTTTATACTTCTATGAATCCTTTACAGTGCTATACTCAGGTGACCGTTAAGACCGTTAAGGGCCTGTTGTTCATTAATATTAAAGAAAGCAGAGACTTCATGCATGGTTTCAGTAAGCTATTTACATTTGTGAAATGTGTGTCGTGTCCAAAGAGCTTAAGCCCAAGGGTGGGTAAAGGATGACCAGGAGTTTAAAACGCACTTCATCTTTAAAGTCCCTAATCATTTCGAAAATGAGAGAACACACACAATTGTGCAAGTCGTGTCATATGAGTCTTATCAACAGATATCAAGGCCAAAGTGCATTGATTTTTTTTTAATTTTGTACTTTAATTTTTACTTTTTCTTTTTCCAATTTTATTTCAAACATTTTTAATTTTTAGTTCCTTTTTAAATTCTAACTTTTTGTATCAATATTCCAATATCCTTATAATTTCAATTTATTTTCGGATTTTTACAAAATTTAAAAAAATTGTTTCTGTATGCCTACTTTAATTCTAATTTTAATGGTGCAATTATTAGTAGAAACGAAAATTAGAATGTGTTTGTCCATATGAAATCGATAGAATAAAGAATTCATACATTGATTGATGCCGAGGAACTGATTCATAGAGCTGTAATAGCAATTCGTTGAAAAGGATCGTCGAAGATTATGAAATTGCTTTTCTACACTCAATATGAACGATTTTCCAGATACTCTCATTATGTAAAATGTTCAGGTCAGACAAAGGACTGCAGGGAATATAGGGCCCTAATGTCAATATGCGTGTTTTTTTAAAGTAATAAATGTTGTAATACTACAGCCTGATTAGAGAAGCAGAAGAAATATTTAATAACTCACAATAAATGTTTATTAACGTCAATACTTACCGTATCAAATGAACCGTTCAAGGATATTCAAAAGTAACGATTATTAAATATACATATATCAGTCATGACAGAATCATTAAAGATCAAAGCTAAAAACCGCATATTAAGTTTTGGAAAGAATATGGAATGAAGTGTATTTGGTTTGGCGACTTTACGTAGAAACTTGACGATGTCTTTCTCTTATTTCCTCTGTATTTACAACATTAAAAAAATCATGAGTATTCTTTATTGCCGATTGTGTTTTTTTTTCATCAAAGTTGTTTAGGATGAGTTGTAATGCTCAGATACTGATAAATGTAAATGAATTCATTGGGGAGTAATATACAGTTCCTGTATTGAATACCTTTAGATAGTAGAACCATATTACGTTTTGGTAACATTTTAATTCCAAAAAACTTTACCATGAAAGATTTCCTTTACATGCTGGAAGGTTTTTTTCTTAAAGAAGAGTTTACTTATATCATGCGGAAATTGTAGGTTAACAAACAGTACTAGTAAATAATACTAAAGTTATGCCTATAGACTAATGCTCAAACGATTCATCGTCCTCTTCCGGACAAAACATTTAATTTTTGAAGTTATCTGAACTGAAGGTTCAAGTAAGTTTTTCGGGATCATGAAATATCATAAGCTTAATTCAAAATCTTTTTGTTGTATTGAAATGTTGTAGAGGTCAAAAAGTTAAAAACAAAAATATGTTTCAATATTGTATTACCAAAATGCTGTTATCTGCAAATTTATCTAGAGATAAAAGTTGACAATTTACAACATCTTACAGGTGATTGAAAATTAGACTTAGTCTAAGTCTATATCATGATCCTTGGGTCTGATCTCATAATGTCTGTGTCTGTATGTCTGTTTTCTGCTCACCAATATCACTAAACCAATCTCAACCAAACCTGCCAAAAACATCCTTGGATGAGAAGGAATTTCAGTTTGTTAAATTGCTTGAAAGGGGCGATAAAATGAAAAGGCAAAAGAAGGGTGAGATCTTTTTGATGTCCTATTTAAACAGGAGCACGATATCTGAGGACATTTGTCATAGATTTCAAAGAAGTTGTGTGTTTAATTTTCTGATCCAGTGATTGAAAGGCCCCATCCTATTTTCACCATTTCCTAATTTGTTTAAAGTTGAGAAACAACAGATAGACCAATTTTGATGTTTTAAAAAATTAATTGAGATTTAAACTTAATAGTTAATGCTGTAAATCATGTAAGGATAGCTGGCGGTCCACTTTTAAATGATAATTGTCGGCATTACTTCATTTGAAATGGTCTGTTCAGGATATATTGAAACTGGGAAAGAGAGATACATTTGTTTCTCGATAGAAACCTACTCTATTTCAGCTTTATTCCCCTCCGATTTACAATTTAAAATAATGAATCATGTCAAAAATTTAATAAACTCTATGGTCTTTGTTATGAATACAACCATCCACTGAGTCATATTTTGACAATCATGTTTCATACCCATTGTTAGGCATTTATATGCAAAATTTGACTACGGTTAATCCGTCTACCTGATCGATACATAGGGCTAACGGCAAGAGTGACCGGTCGACAGGGAATGCTTATTATACCCCCGCTCCGAAGGAGAGGGTGGTACACTGTTTGACCCTTGTGTGTCTGTCTGTCTGTCTGTCTGTCCGTAACAAATTTCTCGTTACAGTTTTCTCAGCAACTACTCATCGCAGATGCTTGAAATTTTAGCACACACTTTGTTGAGGCATGCCATTTTTGTACGAATCCGATGTCAACTTCATGTTTATCCGTGCGTCTGTCCGTACCATACATAACAAATTTTGATCGCAGTTTTCTCAGCAACTACTGATTGCAGTTGCTTGAACTTTTAGCACACTCTTTGTTAAGGAATGCCATATGGTGGGATTCATTTTTGTACTAATCTGATGTCAACTTCCTGTTTATCCGTGCGTCTGTCCGTATCATACTTAACAAATTTTGGTCGCAGTTTTCTCAGCAACTACTGATTGCAGATGCTTGACATTTTAGCACGCTCTTTGTTTAGGCATGCCATATGGTGGGAATCATTTTTGTACGAATCCAAAGTCAACTTCCTGTTTATCTGTGCGTTTGTCCGTATCATACAGAACAAATTTTGGTTGCAGTTTTCTCAACAATTACTAAATCTAGATGCTTGAAATTTTAGCACACTCTTAGTTTAGGCCTGCAATATGGTGGGATTCATTTTTGTACGAATCTGATGTCAACTTCATGTTCATCCGTGTGTCCGTCCATAACTAAACTTGTGTACATTCACATCAAAGCGGGGGTATTACTAGTGAGCATTGGCTCACAGACTTCTTGTTCCTCCTAGACACCTAATCCCACATCTGACATTTCCAGGGTTCTGTGTTTTATTCCCTATTCTTAGATTTGTATCGTTATCTAGGTTTTTTTTTTGAGAATGATCACTGTTCGTTATTTTCACTTCATTTCATGAACAAGAGCACGTGACAAATTCTTGAGCTTGTTATTATAGCCTATCTTTAATTCCTAATCTAACAAACGTTTTTGTCAATTTTATTTTATTATGGACAAAAATTTAATATAAGAATTGTAGAAATTTCATTGGTAGAATTTTTCTGTATTTATTGAACATCATCAGATTTTAAGCTTATTCTTGGTTTCGATTTTTCTTTTAGGGATTACGGGTTAATCACAACACTGGTGAGTATTTCCCATTTCTCTTCATAAGCATCGCTAGATCACACACTATAAACAAATTATATACTAGATGCTTACAGTTATTGGAAATTATATTGTATTAATGCTCTTGAGAAAAATCAGGTAGAAACTACTAATGAATGTTTAATGATACGTTTGATTGAATTTCATATCAAATGAAAACTAGAGGCATTCAATATAATTTACTTTTAGTAAGTTCGATCAAAATAAACACACAAGTGATTGATCAATAGATGTAGAGTGTTTAGATGGCAAAAAAGTCTAAGGATTTTCCTTTGTTTTAGGCTATGTCCCAGAGGAATACCTAGATCGAAGTGTGAGCAGACGAGAGCTGGCAGCCATTGGATTAAATATCAACAGGGACATTTTTCCACTGGCTGTCGAACTTGATATTTCTTCACAAGACATCATGTCTATTCTGCAGAGACCAATAGAACGTGACCCTACGTTAAATATCCGAGACATCTTGTTAGAATGGTATTTGTATTCAGAGTTCAAACCTACATTCAGGGTCCTTGTTACCGCATTTATTGAGGTCGGATTAGATCTGGAGTATATAACAAATGCATTTGATCAAAACACATATAACGATCTATTTTAAGAATTTTGAATTTCAAGTAAAATATTACATACGTTTCAGGATTTGTCAAAGAACACCAAATGTTTTGAAGTATTTTGTTCAAGTTATGTTACAAAGACGAAGCATTTTTCAAATATCTACTGTATATACACAAGGCCTAGTTAGTTCTGTTCTTTGGTGTGTCTAGCAGCTATTGGTAAAAATGATTTGGTAAATTTTATTTTGTTTATATGGAACAGATTTGGACAATTTTCTTGCATATATAAATGTAAATAATCACTGGTACACTCTGTTACTTTTATCTTTGATCAATAAAAACTTTTTTACCAACCAGCATACCAGAAAGAATTTAACACCAGCGCCCTTGACCCAGGGGCAGAGAAACTTTGTCCTCTTCTGACTCAGAGTTAAAAAGTTGGGTCGGTAGGTAGGTGGAGAAATTTTTCCTGAGAATTTCAACGTACTTGTTGACAGAATGAGAAAATTTCTCGGGAAAAAAAGAATAATTGTTCCTGGGGCTTAAGAAAAGGTTTTGAGTTGAGCCGTTTTTAGCTAGTCGGTCGGGAGAGAGCAAACAAACGATTTTTTTTTAGAGATGGCCTCAACCCTCGTAAATGCATGAAAATCAGGTATTTTAGGTGTTACTCAGAAGTTTACTTCCATATTCTTTTACTGTGGGGATTCAGAACTGAATGACAATCATCCCACTGTGTTGGAAAAGAAACAACAATTTCCGATTGTGCAGCCAGTTTGTAACACTTGCGTTACTGCTGGAAAGTAGCCTGCTTGCAGAAATGCACTGAAAGTAGGGCCAAAAGAAAATTGATAATAAAGTGTATAACTCAAATCAAATTCTTCAATTTTATTACCAGTACTTTAGTTTTTTTTCTTCCTCCTCCTCCTCCTTACTGATTTCAAAATTTCGAAATCCGTAAACCAATTAAAAAAAATGGCCTAACGTTGTGCAAACTTGTGCTAAAGACAAAAGACGCATTATACATTTAGAAAACTTGTGTGAAATTAGGAAATTTGCACATTAGCTGGTACTTTTAAAACTGTATGAAAGTTCAACGTTTTTCCTATAGCAAGCGAGAGCTATTTACCTGTGTGGCCTTTGTTGACCCCACCCGTGCAATAAGTTATTATATTATACTTTCATGTAAATAAGTTGAATCTGATTCGTTGAGAAATATTTCTTAAAAAAACACTATTACCCGCTGAATGATGAAGCCACGCCCTCCAGCGTAGCAACAGTCAACAATGCTTGACGACGGGTGATATTCCAAAAAAATAGTGACTGCGCAGAATTTATGCGCGCAAGGTTCACTGTTATATGTATTTGTATAAAACATTCAGTATTATATAATAAACATGTAGTTGAATGTAACATTGAAAATTTTCACCCCTCGAAAACCATTGTTAACCTCGGCTGCGCCTCGGTTGACAATGATTTTCTTAGAGTGAAAATGTTCAATGTTACACTAAACTACATGCAATATTTACATATTAAACAGTCACTTGAGTTCCACCCAGGTTTTTTTTTTTTTTGTTTGTTTGTTTGTTGTTTAACGTCCCTCTCGAGAATTTTTCACTCATATGGAGACGCCACCACTTGCCGGTGGAGAGCTGCAAATTTTGTCCTATGCTCGGCACTTACGGCCATTGAGCAGTGAGGGGTCTTTTTCGTGCCAACACCTACTGCAACACGGGACCTCGGTTTATACGGTCTCATCCGAAGGACCGGTCTCCACGTCCCACAGTGGGATTCGAACCCGCGACGTAAGGATCAACTCCTTGCCTCGCGACTCTAGAGCAGACGCTCTAACCACTGCGCCACGCGGGCGACCGTTCCACCCAGGTAAACATTCCTCAAAGGTATTCACTGTAAAACACAGCTACGTTTTATATCGTTCGCCAAAGTCGTGCCATATTGTATGTATTTGGCTGATGAAATGGGAGGTAGAGAGTTTAGTGTCGTTTAAAATATCATCGTACATAAAAATGAAAAACATGTTTAACACTGATATCGAAAGATATTGAAAGCAATAATAATATGTATTTATAAATAAATACAACAAATATCTTACATGTCTGTACATTTATTTGATACATTGTATTAGGATAACCCATTACAGCTCCAAAGCTTGTTTCCAATGGTGTTCTTAAAAATACAGATAGAAAAATAATTAATCAACAATGATTTCAAGCTAATTTTTACAATACTATATGAAAATGAGTTGCACAATTTTTTTGACTCAATATTTAGCTCTACTGGTTTCAAATAACATTGATAAATAATATGTTTTTAAATGGCAGTACAGTAAAGCAGTTCGCCCTTTACACTAAATACCCTTTTGTAATTTAAAATTGATGAAGAAATTAATGTTAATGTTTATTGTATTATTTCAAATGCCAAATGTTTAGTCTGATCACTATGGCTATAGGCAACTACAAAGCTTCATTCGATTCTTGTTATAGGTAATATAGTATTTCGTCAAACGCGCCCGTCGATCCACCACCAGATTGTTAAAGTGTCGATTTAAATGATTTGAATAGGCGAAACTCAAATAGGTTCGGTACGACTTTTCCGGATTTGGAGTATCTATATGCATTTAAAAAACCCCAATTGTTTAAAATTCATGCTGATTTAGGTGATGTTTAACGTGATCCCCAGTGTTTAAGAATTGCCAAAAGAGAACGATTCGGTAATACATTCTGGATTAAAACAGCAGGGTGGCATCCAGAAAAAAGGAAAAGTTAACTTACGCAATAGAAAATGGGTCCTTGTCTCAGTGGTTTATTCCCCGGACGTCTACAAAAGAGCGCACTAAGAACTATAACTCTTCTCTGGTGGAAATAGAACGTATTAATAAAGATTTTATACTTTAAGTTTTAGGCATTTTGTAACCCACCCCCAATGCTTATTTATTTATTTATTTATTTTGGAGTTAGAAAAAAACGGACATAATATTTCATCAACAGTAAAATACATATACATTATTATAACAGTAACTTCATCCGAAGAGTCGTATCACGTCGAGTTGACAGGCGCGGATCATCAGATCAAACTCGACGCGAACATCAGATCAAACTCGACGCTTCGCGTCGAGTTTGATCTGATGATCCGCGCCTGTCAACTCGACGTGATACGGCTCTTCGGATCAAGTTACTGTTATAATGATAAATTTATTATATACCCCCTTTACAACTAGCAAAATATAGTTTAAAAAAAATTTTTGAGATTAATTATATAAGATTTTTCCATTAAACAAAGCATTTTGTCAAGGAACTTTTTGATGCAGATGAAAAATAACGTCATGTTTCTGTGTACTACGTCATCAATTTCAGAGAGAGGTGATATGGATTCAGAAAACCACAGTGTGGTGATCCAGAAAGTCGGATCACACCGTCACGTAATTGTACGAAATCTACAGTAGAATTGAGTGATACACACTTGGGTATATAACAAATCATATTTTCATTGCGTTTAAGTCAACACAGCCATCTTACATATCCTTAAATTACTTCCAGTACAACTTTCTATTATCAACTTTTTGCGATCACAGTTGATTCCATGTTAGGATCCGGAAAATGTTACCATTTGCGCACGTATGTCGCGATACTCTGTTGTGATCTGTTTCATAAGATCACTGTTGATTCCATATGAGGCAAATGTATTTACGCAGACGACGCCCTGCACTACACTGACAACTCTTAGTACTACGAAGCATTATTCTGATGCATTTACCTTGAGATGCAAATAGTTAAACAGTTACATGGTGAATAAACTGACGTTTATTCTTTATATGCGTAAGAATTTCATTATGTCACAACTCCTATATTTTCTGTCTATTCATAGCATGATGGAATTTTAGCATATTTACAAAACAATCTCACCGATTTCAATTTATTAGATTATTATGAATAACCTGTGTTTTGTAATGATGGTTTTTAATAAAGTGCTTGAAATATCACATCTTTAATGACGCTATATCTAATAATGGTTTTGCACACGGCTCATAAGTTTGGAGTTTAGAGGGAAACATTATGACAAAAAAAATCTTTTACAAAATTGACAGATGTAGAACTGAGCAGAATACAAGCATGAGTTAAGTTATATTTCCCTCCAATATTGATTTCTCTGTAAAAAGTTTTATAGTTATAATTAATCCTTCTGCAGAGTTAATTTTACTTTATTTTTTACAGAATCCTTGCCTTTATACATCATATTCAGTTGAGAATTAATGTGAAAAAAACAAACTCATAGGAATATAATTAAAGTAATATTAATTAAAGTCGATGGAATTAAAAGAACGGTAATTTTTACAAGGTTTAAATGCTTACAAAATTACTTTAAGATAGTTCATGATGCTGACTATGATAGTCTATGCTGATCATTCCTTTATCAGGAATACTTGTATACTAGGCACTGACGGCTTCAATCATATAAACCTATCATATCATTTTGAGAACTATGGGTCTTTTCTTATCGCATTTACTTGGAGATGCAAACATGTATACAGTAACATGGTGAATAAATCTGCGTTTTCTTTATGTGCGCATGAATTTCTTTAACTAATACACCCTTTCCCTTTAGTGTATTTTTTTTCGTTCATTGGTGTGTAAAGCAAATCTAACTTTTTGTAAGTTTATAATTTTATTAGGTAATTGACTGTTCTGTTCATCGTGTGCCATTACGTAAGTCACAATATTATCCTTTTAAAAGGGAATACTTGTTTAGACCTAATATGAATAATTGATTAGTTTCCAATTTTATCGTGATTTTAACGTGTTCTCTCTGTAACAGTGACAATGTGTAAATATTGATGGACCCTAAGAACACAATAAGCCTTAATAAATTCTCAGTGGATTTAAACTTTTGTAATGTATTGATCCATTGTATTCAGTGTCAGACAACTGTTTGTCTATCAAATCATAACTTTCCGCGTTGAGGAATGGACTTTTTGAAATCATTATCTACTCTTTGACTGGGATTTCTCTCGCTGACATTCCGTTGTCATGGTGGCGCGCTGTCAAATTGATGCCCGTGTCGCAGTGTCTCTTCGACAAAGCAAGTATGCACCTGAAATTGATCTGTTTCTACAGCTTTCATTACTTCAGTTACATTGACTCAATAAATGTTAGTCTGCATGAAAACAAGCGGAAATGATCTCAATAGGAAAGTAGAGATTTAATGCTTTCAAAAATACGTCGTGCATTTGTTACGGTGCGTTATTAATTTATAAGACTCTGTAGCTTTCAGGAAGGATGTTAGTAGTTATTTCCCCAGAGACTTCTTTGATGACCAAATTCGCCTGAAATTTAATGAACCATTGTGACATTACAGCCAGGGAAAGGTGCGCTTGGTCTGTAGTATGGATACCACGACACTAGAACAGTGGAACACTTCTCTTTCGAAAAAGTTCACGGTCAGCACAATTCTTCAGTGCTGTTACCTTGTTGTCGGAGTGCTCGGAAACTTACTGGTGATATCTATGTATAAATTCAAAATGAGGGGCCAAAACGAGGACCGCTTTTTTATCCCAGTGTTGGCAGTGGTTGACCTGGCAGGATGTCTCACATCAGCCTCGCTATCCCTGACTCGTAACTTGTTTCCAGTGATGTTTCCAAGTGAAGTTATTTGTAAGCTCCTGTTTTTTAGCACCTCTTTGACCATCATAAGTTCTTTACTTCTTTTACTAGTCATCTCTGTTCAGCGCTACCAAAAGATTTGTCGACCATTCGGCTGGCAGATGACAGAGAGCCACAAGTACTGCTTTGTGGCGATGACTGTGTGCTGTGCCGGACTGTTGTCCATTCCTGTCATTGTTTTGTATGGAAAGCACCCAATTCAAAGGGCCAACATCACCGGCGTTCAGTGTGGGGTCGGAACAGGTAAACATGGCGATCTGGCTATCTACAACTACATTATTTTGACCTTAGAGTGTATTGCCGTTGGTATAATGACTTACCTTTATTTCTTAGTCGGTAAGAGGGTTTTCTACAGTTTTAAAAGTATGAAGAGTTACAGACGTAATTTTTCAATTTCAAAGAACTCCAATGCAGCTGTACACTGTCCTTCAGAAGATGAGAGTTTTATCTCTAAAGAAAGTGCAGATATTTGTACAGACAGGAATGAGGAGAAATTGAAGGAAAACCAACCAGTGACAGAAAATTCATCAGATCTCAAGAAAGAAAACAACAGCCAGGAACTCATTCATATTCTTGTATGTAACGCAAGCACACAGACAATGCCTAGACGAACAGCGAAAAAGTCATTGAGCATTGATACGCAGTGTAGGAGGGATCACAATGACAGAGAACTACTGGATAACACAGACTGTTCCGCTGAGGACGCTCCGGTATTTATCTGTGATTCGGTGGATCTTCCATCCGAAAAAGGGGAACTCGATTCTGTACAGGAAAATGGCGTAGATGTAAAACAATTGTTGAAGAAAAACATCGACAACAGCTGTACAGAAAAAGCAGAGAACCAGGATGCTGTGACGAAGAAAATTAGAAGTCAGAGTGTAGTGTCACTTACTAACAAGAGAAATCAAAGTGTTCCTTGTTTTGGCAAACAAAGAAACCAAAGTATTTCATCTTTTAGTAAAAGCAGAAATCGAAGTGCACCATCCTTAAATAAAAACAAAAACCAGAGTGTAGCATCTTTTAGTAAGGACCGAAAAGCGTCAAATGTAGACTCTATATATAGCAATAAAAACACGTGTACGGCTCATCGCTATACAATTATGTTCATCGTCATATCGTTCGTGGCTATTGTTACGTATATTCCACCGTGGATATTTATCATCATGGAGACACGGGACCACGACTTTTGGAGTGAGCTGACATACAGCGAGAGCGTTACCTTTATCATCATCCGCCGGATTTACATTATCAATCACGTGATTAATCCAGTCATATATGGACTTTTTGACGGACGATTCCGGTACACACTTAAGAAAATGCTTTGTCCAAAGGTGGATATAACATTATGACATTGTAAATTAGAACTCTATTCTGATAAATGTCAATCAAGTAAAACGATAAAACGAACAGCAGACGTTGTTGAAAATTTGTGGCTTCTCTCCCCTCGGCCTAATCTGGCACACTTCATCAATAAGGTGTGCATGGGTAAATGTTAACCGAAATTTCTAAGTGAAGTAAAAAAAAAAAGATCTTTTAAAAATCCTTGTTATGAACACATTTTCTCTCCCCTTGACCCATTCCTGCTCAAACTTACCGTACCGTGCCTGTGGATAAAATATGTGCAGTAATCTCGGAACCAATTTTGTACATCAAATGTCAAGGTAATTAATTTTTTCCCGCCTTGCCCAGTCTAGTACATTTTTAACCCAAAGAGTGCTCGTGTGTAAAGGGTATGCAGTAACATGAAACCAAGTGTCATAAGCCAAGATCAAAGCTTATATCTGTATGAAATCTTTGTCGTGATATACCCCCCCCCCTTCTTTGATTTATTTTGCACAAACTACATCCAAAGAGTACACATCCGTAAATCAAATGTCAAATCGTTTTGGACACGTTTTATTCTATGATCAGAAAGACCATATACGGTAGGCAAAGTTACCATATGCACACGAAACGTTTCTCCAGTTTTTAAACATCATGAACACTTTGTTAACCTTGCAGTATAAACCTTTTTAAAGAGTTTTTTGGGCACCATGCTATTTATCCGTTGTTTTCTTGGTAACTTTTTGTTCCTCACGTATCACACTTTTTACTAAGGTGCAGACCATTTGATTTTTAGAGAGGGGGGGGGGGCAGATGTTGGAAATACATGTAAATAATGTCCTCGAAAATGTAGAAAATAAATAATCTGTCCTCGAATGGCAAGAAAATAAATAATCTGTCCTTGTCTGGTACTATTACGATAGAACCCCCCCCCCCCCCCGAAAATAGATAATCTGACCCGAAAAAATTTCCTACCCCCCCCTTTCAGAATCAAATGGTCGTCCCCCAAAGTCTGTTAAAGTTAAAACAGAGCTCTGAGTTAAAACATCAGAATTCAATATCAAAGAATGCATCTATATAAATTCCTTGTCTGGATTAATATTTTTTGCCCTTGGAATCGTGTGGCTAATACTAAAAGCTAAAAGTGGCCTTGAATAAAGGGCATCAATTGTTTGAACAAAGCGAAATATTCAAACTCCCCCCCCCCCCATTTCAGTTAAAAGAGAAAGAATAGTAATAGTGCAGAAAGCTTTTTCATTTACATAAAAAAAATCGGAATGATCAAATCTTTTCGAGTCCAAATTGGTCTTTTCCAAGTGCTGTCATTTAGAAGTACCTTTCATCGTTATGTATCTTACTTTTAAAACTAAAAGTGGGACCCTTCGACATGCTCACCATCACAATGATCAATGATATCTAGTTTATCACGTCAAAGAAGAAGGAAAACCTTGAATGTTGATTTTTATACAAAGAAAAAAATAATAAAAACAATCCCTACAAGCAAGATTATGTACAGATAGGTACTTATGTTTGTTTATTTTGAAGTATAAAATTTATGTAGGTGATTTAACTCTGCCGGAAAGGAATCGGAATCTGACATTTAAAAATTTAATGGAGACTTCATGGTAAGTGATTGATTTTTTTTAACCTCATTGAGGGATCCAGGATTCTTGAAAAAATAAATTTATTCAATTTTATGCATATTTTTGGACACAAAGGGGAAGGGGCTCTATTTCCGCCATTGTACCTGTAAACATATACGTGAAAATGATGCTGAAATCCTGATTTTCTGATAATTGAACAGAACAGACCGCTTCTCCATGAAAATGAGTTTATTTGATGAACACGAGGAAGCCAGACGCTAATCTCTTACTAAAACCGTATTGAAATATTACTAAGTACAAAAGTACTCTTGCGGTAATCAATTTCTTTGTATTCAAGTTCACATTATTCAATTCTTATATTTACAAGTTTAACGTCACAATATTTTGTTGTTGTTTTGTTTTTTGCAATACGCTAGGTTGACTTGAATGCAAATTTTTCGGATCTGAAATGTGATATCTACCAAGAAAATCGATTGACACAAATTGCGCAAGAATCGAAACCCAACACTTCTAATCAAATATTTAAGCTCTGTTACGGAAATTAGTGTTCGTTTCCCTGAACTGTTTGAACAGTGTTAATTATCTGCATTCTGTATAACAATGGGAACCATCATAAATTTCAAATAATATAGCTGATTCTCGTACGTTCTTTTATATAATTTTATTAACATTGTCACGTGGGCTCTTATTATTGAACTTCAATAAACCATTAATACCATTAATGTTTAAAGAGTTAGATACAGTTCCTCTTAGCTATTGCAGGACCATATATAAGGTTGGCTCAAATCAATTCTATGTTTAACGTCACTAAAAACATCAAGACCTACACAGGGGTGAAAAAATTAAATACCGGTAAACAAAAACTTCAAACAAACGAGTATTATTTACTCTTTTACATGAATCAAAGTACTGTATATCTTATTTGTTCATCATGTAGACATATTGTTTAATGATCGTAGTAACTATGTCGGTATAAATGATATAAGATATTTATAGATTTTGGGTCAAAGAATGACTTCCCGTTTTAGTTGCACTTTCTTTTAGTTAAAACTCTGAAAGTTTAATCGTAGAATGAATGCGGGCGCATAAAATTATTGCTGTATAGAGGGTTATTTTAGCCCCGTGTTATTTTTGCCTTTTCACACTTGCATGCAATTTTGCACCTTTTTAAATTCGCCTAGTCACAGTTCTGTGTAGGAAATTATACTGTGGTCTTTGATTTCGCCCCGTTTTACTTGTGAGTAGGGCGAAACCGAAAGGGGAGAAAATAAAACGGGGCGAAAATTTCCCTGTATACAGTATTACCAAGTACTAGATTAGTTGATGTGATTGTCCTTGTTTATTTGAATATGGCCGATATCTTTCCTTTTGGGACGGTGAATATTTATATCAACAGTCTTGCATGTATACTGTTGTTCTGGCTTATGAATAAACATCAGTGTATCCTCACGGGGACCTTAATGGCGTTTTTTGGCACATTTTTAGACAAAATATTGAAAACTTAAATGTACATGGTTAACAAATACTCTTAAGTAATATTTCAATGACTTTGTTGATGTGCGCGAAGATTAATTCATAATACTCGCGCAAACATTCCTCATCTCATGAATATTCATTAATAACATCATGAAGTTTCAACATACTACTGGATTACACTTGTGCAAAAATAACAGTTTTAACGATGAAAGAGTATATAGTAGTTCTCCAGAATTGTGTTACTATCGGGGGCATAGTGTTTCACAAACACATCTTGTTTTTTTTTTTTTACTAAAGCAATACAAGCTGTAATTGACGTGTTTTATGCCCCGTATCGAAGATTAGGGGGTATATAGTTTTTGCCCTGTCCGTCTGTCTGTCTGTTTGTCCGCAGAAACTTTAACATTGCCCATAACCTTTGATTGGTTGGCGCTATGGGTCATCAGTGTTTCACAAACACATCTTGTTTTTTTTTTTTTTTTTTTATTTTTTTTTTATTTTTTTGGCTTGACACAAAGAGTATAATTATGTACTATATAATACCTAGCCGTAAAAATTAAGACAAGAAAGTTCTAGTAGGAAATTTAGAATGCTAAATAAAGTAAGACTGCTTAATCTGTTACTTGCATGCATGCTGAGCATTTTATGCACCCGTAATCGAAGATTCGGGGATATATAGTTTTTGCCTTGTCCGTCCCTCTATCTGTCTGCCTAGCTGTTTATCTGTCCGCAAATACTTTAACTTTGCCCATAACTTTTGATTGGCTGGAGCTATGACTTTCATATTTCACATATGTATACCTTGTGAATTGACCTTTCTTTGGGTACCTTCATATTTGACATTTTGACCTTGACCTTGGAGTTGGACTAAGTTTTGCAAAACTTAAACAAATTTTAACAATGACCTTAACTTTTGAGCAATTGGTGCTAGGGCTTTCATACTTCACATGTGTAATCCTTATGACAAGGCCTTCCTTTGGATACCAACAACTTTGACCTTTTGACCTTGACCTTGGAGTTTGACCTACTTTTGAAAAACTTTAACCTTGGCCATAACTTTTGAACGGTTGGAGTTAGGGCTTTCATACTTCACATATGTAATCCTTGTGACAAGACCTTCCTTTGAATACCAACAACTTTGACCCTTTTACCTTGACCTAGGAGTTTGAACTACTTTTGAAAAACTTTTACCTTGGCCATAACTTTTGAACAGAATATCAAAGAAAATTTTGTTATAATTGAGATTTAATTTTTCACCTTAATATTTGTCGCACCATAGGTATTTCACTTGCCTTGTTCGCCCATCTTCTTTAACAGAAAGGATCAGTGCACTTAAGCTAAGAGAGTTGGGTCCCGATGCTTTGCCTAAAATAAATTTCCGAAATTTATAAACTTTTTGAATCAGAATTATTAAACAATATCTTAAGAGCAGGATTTGATATATTATATTACATGGAAATATTAAATAATGCCGAGCGATACTGGTTTTTGCGACGGGGGTCTAGCAGTTTTGTCACATTTCTATTGTTATTCATATGCATACCAGTTTTCAACGACATTGTTTACATCGAGCCGCAACTCGTCCATTCGTCTCATTTGCACAGAATGTGTATTTTGATCTAAACTTATACATATCCAAAAGGCAATGTTGGACAATTTACGGCTCATATGTAATTTTTTGAAAAATTCTCCAAACTTCGGTCGAGTTAGCTAATAAATTAACAGGTCACCGAGTGTCAACCTATTTTGACCCGTTTGATATTATAATCACTTCACTCACGTGACATTCCACTGTTTGATATGCTTTCATTGTGTCTGTCAATCGAGGGCTGTACACACGGATATGTATTTAAGTACAAAATTTTACTATGTATATACTTTTAATACAGTGAATCATAAGATTTTTCGAACTTTATAAAACTGTATTAAGAATAGGGCAATGCTCTGTTTCTTATACAAGTCTTAACTTACCTTTCATTTTTAAACC